GCGTTGGTTCAGGGTGAGGTCGTCCCACTCAGCCTTTGGTTCATTCCAGCAGTCATCAGGAACTCCTTCAGCTTCTTGGCAGATATTGAAATCCCATGATTACTAGTCTCAGGGAAATTCTCAAATTATGTGCTAGAAATGTTAAAGACAGCATTGCCCCCATAAGTGGATTATTTCTTAGAAATATGTTAGACTATGCGTGTAAGAAACAAAGAAACAGCAGTTTTTGAAAGCAAAGAATAATGAGGTGGTTCATCCCTGTTTTCTGTAATATTACAGAGCCATATTAAGTCAAGTAAGCTGGTACAGGTATGTCCATCATCCAACTGCCTGTCAGCTATGCTGGATAAGTGGTGTGTTACTGAAATTTCTTCCATCCATGCCCCAGAATTACCTCTGTGTGCATCCTGCAGCTTTAGGAGTGTATAAACTGGCTCTGTAAAAGACTTCCTGCATTGCCCAGTGTTCTATCTGCCACTGAAAGATTGATCCCTAAAGCTCATGTTTTCTTACCTAGTGCTTTCTAATTTTAAATTGTGGAATAGCACTGAAATCACAAAATGGATCTTTCACTACTTTTTTCTGAAAAGTTTTCTGCCTTCATTTTTACATAGTTGATCTCTGTGGCCAAGCCTATGGTGTCATTTGCCTTGTTATCCCCACTGGAAATATATCAGGCAGGACTTGTCTTCAAACTGATTCTTTACATTTTTCAGGTGCTTTGTACCCTGTTAGTTATGAAGTACCAATATTATAAATCCTCCATTTTTAGAGTAACACTTTCATGGACAAGTGCCCCTTTCTCATTATACTTTTTCTCAGCAATGAACTTTCCTTCAGATTTAAGCCTAAATCAAAATTAAGATGTTTGGCGTCTTGTCTTTGGCAGACAAAAGGGTTGCCTTTATATGATGGGTGACAAATTTGAAGAGCAAGAGCATTGTTAGAAACTTGGTGCTAGTACTTTCTTATTATAGGGAACCCCAAATAGAAAAAATAAATTTGATTTCTTTTAAGGAAATACGTTGTATACTTGCATTGCATTCCCACAGCAACGGGTTAGCTGCATGCTCTTGGCTGCTACAGCTTCCCAGTTCCTGCGAGGCTGTCGCTTAAGCAGGCAATATGTTTGCCTTACCCTGAGGTTTCAGATCGAGGTAACAACTGTAAATGAGCAGCAGCAAACTGCTGACAAGACACACATGACAGAATAAGTGTTCACTGCCTTTCTGTCCAGTCAGTTCTCCCTGTTTGAGGAGAAGGCTGCAACAGCATCGATGTCCTGCCTGCACACAATATACTGCACTGCAGGGAAAGTCAGTCAGTGTGGTGTCAGTCGCTACTTCATTTATTTATTTTATTAGATGCTGAATTGTCACAACCTGTTGTCTGTCAAACAGCTCTGTCTTCAGTGTAGTCTTAAAAACTCCACACCTCGACCTGATTAGAGCAAGCTCTAAGCATTTACTTTATGGAGCAGCATCTATGACATTTCCTACAATAATCAGTGAACAGAGGTTCTTCCCATAGCATAGCAACCACACAGCAGTGATGCTTTCCTTTCTGATCTTCTGTAGTTGTTGCCTGAAATGGTATCAACCCTTCAAGTCATAAACACATCATGTTCTTTTACCAAACAATATAGCCTTCGCAATTAAGACCTTAATATTTTTGCATGTCCTGTTGTCCCAAATAGGAAGTCATTCATATGTATTATGTCTAACACCATTGTATCAAGGAAGAAATCATAGAAATGCAATTACACATAATCATTAAACACTTAATTTGTGTTTGTTTTGTATATCTACAACATCCATTTCTCATTATTGTCAGTTTTTCACTTTGCCACCTCAACTGCTGTTTAATATTTAGTTGCTGTACTTCTAATATTTAATAATTTATTAGAAATTTGGATGATCTACAGAGGTAATAAAGTGTGAAATAATGCCTAAAATCAGATCCAATTTTATTTAATTCTGTGCATTTATTGCTGTCATTATTAGCTGACATTCTCTTAGCTCACCATACTCTGCCCATAATCTAATCTATCCTGAAGAGGCAGGCAGCAGTATATGAAGTGATTATAAGGATCTTCGAGTGTCTTCAGGGATTTTCTGTACTTGGACTGCAAAAACATTTTGATCTGTTGTTGATAGAACAGTCACAATAAATTCCATTGTTACAGTTCCTAGAATAAGGAATTAATGCACACCTATTAATAAGAAACAATCTGGAGGGCAAAGAACATGACATAAATTCATCACAAGTGAACTCAGAAATAATCCTACTGGTTTTGACTGTGTTGCCTGGCATCACAGAGGCTGTGAATTTCAACCCCTTACTGCAAGTCACATATGGTTAGCTCCCCCTTTCTGCCTGGAGAACATAGATTTTTCTGATTGGGATGTTTTGCTCCTACCAGCGCAATGCAGCATTTTCTGTTATTCTGCATTTTTTATTATTTGATAAAAAGATGTTGCACCTGCAGCTACAAAGGCATCATTATTTGGACTGAAACACGTTCTTACTGGCTACTTCTTGAAGGCCACTGCCTGCATGTTGCCTCACTATTTTATTTTTCAAAAGACTCTGGACTGGAAGTGTGTAAGCCGAGTTTTGCGTTTCCAAATGTTTGAGATATTAAAAAAGCAACAAGGGGTTATATTGCTAATGCCAGTTCACTCCTACTGCATCTGGCTTGAACATTAGTCAGAGATCTTCCCTTTCTACTCTAATGGTCTGAAAACTGTGCAGCCCCTGGGGCTGTGGAATAGCTGCCGACTGTGGGTGTGGGTAGCTGCTACCTACTCTGGGGATTTTACTGGTTTGGTTTTTATTAAACTGGTGCCACTCTAAACTAAGCCGGGCTACTTCACTTGTCCAGTTGCTTTTCCATCCTGCTGGCAGACCCTGCTCATGTTGTTTTGCCTGACATAAGCCCGTCTGGCTGCCCTAATGTAATCCGTTCGCTCAGCTAATTCCCAGGTTGTTTATTATGGACCCCATCCAACACCCGCTGAAGGCAACACAACCTTCAGCTGCCTCAGCAGCTGTTGGACCAGGCCTATAAAACAGCGACTTTTTTGCTATTTTCAGGGTATTAAGAGCTTGTATTACTTAAAAACCACACAGTATGTTTTGATCAGGATAAAAGAAGGAAAGTCGATAGAAAAAAATGCTTTTGAGGTGGCGTCTTCCACTTTCCAAGTGTTTTGGAGACACTTTGGAGGAAAAGACATTGTTTGGATCAAGGTAGTCACCCAGGTCCCTGAAATGGTCAGGAGACGGAGGGTCCCATCGGGCAGGATTCCTCACTCCTTTCAGCCTCCTCTCTGTGAACAGGGGATCTTATTCTCCACCAACTGTGTATGCAAAGAGTTTAGACAAAATATCTAGTTACCAAACAGACATCAGTGGATCCTGTGGAGACACAGATAGAGCTAGGATAGATCCCACTATTTTAGCCTTGAGAAATAAAGATTTTTGGTCATTCTGGTCCAAGAACACAGGCTATTAAGGAATCAGTCCTCTAGCTGCCTTGGGGAGTTCAAATCCACCTTGGGGAGAAGGGGAGCTTCTCACCACAGGAAACAATTAACATCAACACCGTGGAGCCTCAATCTCTTCTCAGTGCCAAATAGAAGAAACAGTAGATTAGCTTCAAATGGTGGTACATTTCTCACTAGCTGCTTCTGACATGTAATGATACTGTATTATTCTTAATTTTTTAAAAGTATTACCTTGGTCTAGAAAGAACATTTTACTGAATGCTCATTACCCACTCCAGACACCATTAATAAATCCATCTCTGTGGCCCGGAGACTCCATTCTGACAACAGTGTGGAAATCTTGTATAAATTATTTTGCAATTCTACTTACATTATCCATACATCAGATCTTAGCTGTGACTGTCACCCCCATGACAAATTCTCAGGCAGGTTTCTGTTAATAGAGAATAGCTTCCCACAACTCAGGTATAATGCTAAGCTTCCAGTAAAACTGATGATGTTTCCTTTTAGAGCCAACACACTCAGGCTTCAAAACTTAAACCCCAAAGGGCATCAGTCATTAGTGAATCTGCTGCACAATGTGATATGTAGCAACTTGCCTTAAATAAAATATAATTAAGGTGATTTAGCAGAAGCTGTATCCAATAATACTTCTTAATGGTTAATTTAAGGGAAACGAATTTCCAATTTTGTTGTCTGGGTACTTTTTTTTTTCTCCTCCTTGTTTTTTTAGAGGGTTTTTTCAAAGAGCTGTGACCACCCACATTACTATTACTTAGTAATAGATCCAATTTCTGGCTACAAGGAGAATTAAAAAATACAGTAATAGTTCAGGGTGGGGGAAACCACCATTGATAAAATCTTTCTGGATTTTATCTGCATTTTGAACTAAAATGGGAATTGGTCCATGCCAAACAAGAGAGGCAACTTGTGTATTGCTCAGATTCTGGCCTTAAAGATATATTTAAAAGGTGTTTGGAGCTCCTGGTTTCAGTGAACACTGCAGATGCACCTTGATCCTATATTGGAGCAAGAGCAAGGGAACGTAGCCCTTTGTAGCAACCTGGTTTCCACCAGAGGTACAAAAAAAAAAAAAATGTATATATCTCATTCATGTCAGGTCCTCGAGACAGTTGGGTGACTGGGATGGAGGGTGTTCTGCAACACACAGCTACTGGTCAGCTACGCCTTGCAACATCTGTTGCTTGCCTCGTGTTTTCAAAGGCAAGGTAGGATGGTAATAAATTCAACGCAATTACAGTTCTCCAGACTATGAAAAGACAATGTAATCAACATGTAGATTAGGCTTTTTCATTTTTTCAGAGTATATTCATGTAGTGGACACTGCCCAAAGTTTCAATTGATTCCCAAGAGTGAACTATCATCAGAAAACTCAGAATCCACCTTACTCTTCTTCTACAGCCTCCAAGCTGATAGTTACTAATAATTAATAATAGTAATAATTCCTATGTGTTTGGTTTTCCTCTGCAGGTAATATTTTGACACCAATATGGGAAAGCAAAACAGCAAACTACGCCCTGAAGTCATGCAAGATTTGCTAGAAAGTACAGACTTTACAGAACACGAGATCCAGGAGTGGTACAAAGGCTTCTTGAGAGACTGTCCAAGTGGACATTTATCAATGGAGGAGTTTAAAAAAATATATGGGAACTTTTTCCCTTATGGGGACGCTTCTAAGTTTGCGGAACATGTATTCCGCACTTTTGACGCCAATGGAGATGGAACAATAGATTTCAGAGAATTCATCATAGCCTTGAGTGTAACGTCAAGAGGTAAACTGGAGCAAAAGCTGAAGTGGGCATTCAGCATGTATGACCTCGATGGGAACGGCTACATCAGCAAGTCAGAGATGCTGGAAATCGTGCAGGTACGTGCTGCTCAGAGGCAACCCCTGGCCTCCCTCCTTCCAAGTAGATTATGAGGCAATGTTGCAATAAGACACTGAATTAAAAACTCTGGCAGCATTTGGGGGTTTATGATCTTGGTTCTCCGTGTAACGGCTTGAATATAAATTGTTATTTCATTTGGCAAGGATCGTGTCACAAGTCAAACTACAGCATTTGATATCCATTGCAAGCTTTTCCAGAGCAACACGCTGTGTGGGAAATTCTCCCTTGGGAGTTCTGTTGGGCTGGAGCACAGCAACTTACCTGCTGATAAATATGATTCTGTCCTCTGGGAAATCACTGTTAATGAGTTACAATTAATTACAGTTGGACCAAGTAGTATCTTAAATCAACAAGCTAGTGTACTTTTAAGGAAGGAAGGCTCCCTCCAGAATAAGAAAAAAATCTACTTTGAAATCATGCTGTTATAAAGAACTAGCTCACATATTTTAAAAAGTGTCTGTTTGACTAATTCCAGTGAGGTCTGCATACTTAACATCATTCTAGCTGTCTTCATATTAAGTTGCCAGTATAGACAAACCTTATCTGGGTAGATGATGTTTCTATACACAGCTTCTTTGGATGCATTTTCTTGTGGTGTTATTAGGAGTCCCACCTCACTTTGGCTTCCTCTAACATGTTTTTACCCTTGAGGCACGTCACTGCTGAAAGCTTCACAAAATTTTTGATACGGTAGTATATTTACACAGCTTGAATCTGTATAATGCAGTGCTGTTAGGTTTTTGGTTGGTTTTTTTTGTTTTGTTTTGTTTTTTTGTTGTTGTTTTTGGTTTGGTTTGTTTTGTTTTGGTTTTTTTTTTAAAAAAAAAAAAAAAGAAAGCCTGTTATCCAGATCCTTTCTTGCCCTGGAAATTTTGAAGTGCTAACTATGTACTGTATTATTAAGACTTATATTTGTGCTGGAAATCAAGGGAAAGGAATGCACACAAATTACAGGCTGTGATGGCAAACCACGTGTACAGAGTCAGCCTAACGTGTGGTGCCTTTGTCCTTCTACCAGGGCTCTGTCTCATGTCCTCCAGACAGTAGCTAACACCAGCACTTGCACTGCTTCAGCAAGACCAGATACAAAGCTCAGATGCAAATGCAGGCTTGTTGTGTAGTCTTTCAGTTATTCTGTTTTGTGCTCCTGTGTCTGAGTTAAAGAGCAGGATTGCATTCAGGCACAGAGACCTCCCTGTCTGTGTGCCATGACAAACCCCATGGAATATTTGCATTAGAAGATACTCTGTTCCTTACAAATCTTCCTCTCCCCCGGGTAGGGTAAACAGGCTATCAATTATTGTTTTCCTAGCTGTATTTCTCCTCATGAGAAAACAAAGAGAATCCCAACAGATCTAACAAAGTACAAAGCAAACACAGAGCCAAACCCAAGCAAGTGCCTGCTCCTCTGGAGGAGGAGATGCCCCAGGGACCACAGGACCCCTTGCTGATGTCAGGTAGCCGGGAAGTCCTCAGTGCTGAATGGCAGCACAAACCCCCTGGACCAGAACATTTGCAAACATGGAGAACAATGCCACAGATGTGTTCGTGTCAAATTTAATTAAAAGATCAGAGGATGAATTCTCTGTAGCAATCCAAGCGAGGACCAGCAAAACCAGCAGGTTTTTTTCAGTCACCATGGATCTGTTCACCAGCACGATTAGAGGCTGAAATGCTCTGCCTCCTCTTCACAGTTGTGTTGGTACCAAATTGCAGCATTGTCCTTTACAACCACGATGCTACCATCAAATGAAACTGCAGCTTAGGGATTAGTGTAGTGTGGCATTTTGTCAATTTATATATCCAACCCAGAGCAACGTTTTGACAGTGTACAGCCCTCAATCTGGCACTCCAGCCCTCCCACTGCACTCCTTGGGAGGTTTGGCTCTCTCCTCCTTTCAGGTCACACCTGAAACTCAACTGAGCGATGCTTTCTCTCATTTACCCTCACCCCACATTTTGGGGCACCACACAAAAATCGATTATGCCTGAGAAACAGCCATTTCTGCACCATGAACCATCAGTGGGTTTACAGTCAGTAAAGCCCTTTCTGTGATGGAGCTTCCCATGAGGCAATGTGCTTGTAGATTTCAGCCTCTTCTCTTATTCCAATTTTTTATGGTCATCGTGAGCTTCCTGTATAGCACTGATCACCCGTAGCTCCTCCCAGTGGGGTAGGATTTGTTGCATAGTCTCTGGAAGCGTGTTTGGCTGATGTGTGAAACTGGAACAGATAAACACATTTTCTTGCTTTATTGAGAGGTTCCTTTGATGCAGAGTGATTAGACTTATAAAAAAAAAAAAAAAACAAAACAAAACAAAAAAAAAACAGCTAACAACTATCACTTTCATTTATGAAAGATTATTATTTTTTAATATGGACAGACAGGATTCTGTATCAAATGTCTTCCTGGGGCCCCTCAGCCGTCACAGTCCTTCTGATAGTGAAAAACAGAACTCTCTCATATCTCTGATATATATCTCAGAGGAACCTATTACAAGTCCCTTAGCTAGCATACATTTGCATATTGATACAGTAGGATTTATTACGTTTCCACTGGGATTTTTGCATGAGACAATACATCAAAATGAACGCTGAAAGAAGTACCATCAATCTAAAAGTCTTAGTTTCACAGAAAAACACTGTCCCTATTACTGTGGGATTACTGCATCTTAAATAACATCAGGGCACGGCATGCTCTTCTTCTTTTCCAGTCTGCTTTTCTTTGTGCTTTGAAAGACCTCTCTCCATAGTGATTTTCACTGCTATGCTGACAGTTACTTGCATTTCCTTTCTCATGCTCTGGCCTCATCTAACAGTGCTGTGGGCAACACAGGCATTGCTCTTTTGCTCAGCATTGCAAGAAGGTGCTTGTAGTAACAGTGGTAGCAGCAGCAGCACTGAAACAGCAGAGGTACAGGTTAAGATGTTTCATGTCCCACAGCAGCCCTAGAAACTTGCCATCTGCCAAGGAGATGAACATGAATGGTCCATAATAGCTTTCTGAAGCCCATTTTCTCTGCAGAGTAATGGGCTAGAGGACGAAGCACCCATATTCCTTTAAGTTCCATTTACCATAGTACTGTTAACCACATATGCACAGTCTATTACAGACTCACCACGCCTCCCCTAGACAGGTCTCCAAATAGCCCTGCCTAGAGACACGTATGAGCCATCCACATAGAGCTGGCTGCACAGTTTGGAGGATCACATAACTTGAAGGACTTTAGTGGTGGGCTGACAATTGTAGAGCCTAATCAAAGAAGGTCCATGGGATACTGCTACATCTACCACACATAGCACATCAGCAAAGTACTGTGGGAAGATGCTTCATAGCCTGCCCTCTTGACAGACCTTGCCGCAGATCCTCTCAGATTCTCGTGCTCTAGAAATGCTTTTCATATCTCCCATATGTTTACCTATAATCTAAATAGCCCAGTCCACTCAAAAATAGCTGCAAACCAGCTAGAAGATTTGTGTTTGTTCCCCTTGCTGAAATGGGACATATATCATGAGAGTTTCTTAAAATAAGAGTTTGAATAAGAGATGGAAACCTTGTTCTAAGGATACATTTTTTTCGCTGTATGGAGTCATAAGGCATGTTAATACTGAGCTGAGAGATAAGAATAACACTTTTGGTTTAATACAGAGCACACGTTTCACTTACTGGACTTGCTTAATTGTAAGTCAGGAAGAAACAGAAGCTGATATGTGAAGAAGCAGAAGCTGATATGGCTCTCAGTAAAGAGAGTGTCAAAAATCCCCATGAGATTGAGATGAAAGCAATTTTTTCAGGGCAATTATTCACTTCATGAGACCTTTAGCTGTCAAAATTTATTTCAACAGAGTAAAAAGGATTGACTGATAATTTGTGCTGTCATTGCTGCCATCACCATAAGGAGCTCTTTGACACTTTGCCAAGTATAGCAGGGAAGTGCAGCCCCTCACCAAGGTTTCTGGCCTGAGTGCAGCAGTGGCAGCCAGCAACTGGGAGCAAAACTTGTGTGAATGGGCAAAGGGGTGAGGTTTGCTCTAAATCACCCATCACCGCTCATCCGCAGGCAGGTTGAAAATCAAAGGGGAGAGCTCAGCAGGGAACCAGCCAGTTCAGATGAAGCTGGAGCCCGTGCTTGCTCCAGCAATGCACACAGGGCTCTGCAGGCACAATTTCTTGGTGGCATTTAGGGGTGCCAGGGAGCTGTAAGGAGCCTGCCTGACAGAATTCCAACTGCGAAAGCCGCCCTGACTCAGGTGGCTGCTGATAGATAACCACCTCTAAACCTTCTCCTACTAAATGCCACCAATGGCTTTCAGCCCACATGCTACGAGGCCGAGGAGTCATCCTCCACGTGGAGTGCAGCTCTTGCAGCCTTTTGGTACCAGGTTGCAGCCCAGGGTTAGTACAGACCAGCTTCACATAATTATCACATGAAACCAGCTTCCTTTCAAAGCTTGTTCTTTCAAACACCCAATAAAGAGCTCTGTGTAGCTGCATTGAATTAACATGGGGCAAGTCTGAAGATTCTTAATCAGCTTTAGCTGGCTTTTACTTTGGGAAAACTTCCCACTGAACTCCTGAGTAAGGACATAAGAATTTGTCCAGAGTAACCATTTTCAGCATGAAAGGAACGCTTACTATGTTATTCCCATATGGCTTTCCTAGAATATCTCATCTGTTATTCCCTTCACACGCCTCTGTGAAAAGGACCCTGTAGGATGAAGTCATTCTGAAGTGCTTTTTTTTTTTTTGTCCTAAAAATCTGCATACTCTTACTATGGTTACTTTGATCAGGGTAAACATGCCTGCACTCCCGGTCTGGGGCATTCCTCCCACACTTTCTATACAGATTCTCTGCTTTGCCATCTTCTCACCCAGAGTGAGGGAATGACCCCTCCACCTCTCTTCCTACCCCAGACAAAAGCCGGACAGCTTAAGATATTTAAACATTAGCAGATTAATAAACCTCATCTCTGCTGAAAACCCTGCAAGCCTTGCATGCCGATGAGGATGAAGAAGGTGTAAATTCCTACTGTCCACCCTCTCTTTTTTTTTCTTCCCCTATTGTCTCCTTCCCCCCAGCTCCCTCATCCCTATGTTCATATGCTTGCATGTTCATCCTTTCTTCTGTTCTCCTGGGTATCAGATGATCACGGCTGTGCAGACAACATCCCTGCCTGTACTGAGGCTCTGCCCAGTAGTCTGGCATGATAATTCTCATGGAAGCCTTTGGGCACTCCCACAGTGCAAATCATGATGATGATGATGATGATGAAAAGGGTGCCCACCAATTTTCCATTCAGCCAGCAGCTGTTCATGTTGAAATGTTCTCCTCTGTTCCCCTGCTCGGGTCTGTAGCCAGTGTTACAGACTTACCAGAGGGCAGACCAGGAAATCCACAGTCACAGTGTTGGTGACATAACTGAGGGAGCAGATGTTTGATTGTGCTGAGCATAAAGCGATGAATAATTAATTAAACAGTCAAAATACTTTCTCAGGGTGTAACTCTTTAAGTTATTTAAAGGCTGGGAGATGTGAAAGGTGAGCTGCTGGCAGAGAAGGCAGCGAGATGGCCAAGGAAGCGGGTGCTCCCTGATCTGAATGTAAAATGTCTGTGCTGCTTAGCGACATCTTCCAGCTGGTGAATCTGTGCTGTTACGTTCCTGGTAGCCGTCCCCTGGGGACCCTGGGCCAGATGATGGGAGCGTGCTAGGCAGAGTGCCTTCATGATTAGGAAGAGAGGGGAGGGGAGATCCAGTGAGCAATCTTGGGCTAGAGCCAAGGACTCCCCCCTCCCAGAGCAGGAGGAAGCAGTGAACAAATAGCTAAAGCAATCACGTCTGCACTAAGTTATCAACTGACCACTGAAGACACTGTGTTGGGTTGGGGGAAGCAAGAATCTGAATGTGGAAGAAAGTGACCAACATCTACAGATGGAGGGCAAAGTGACTGCCCGGTGCAGCATCCGTCAGCCAGAGGCCAACGAGCTGCAACGGGAAGCAGAAGGAGCTGGTCAGACCAGGGCAAGGCTGCCTTGGGCTGGGATGTGTGCCTCTCCTAATGTCCAAGAGGCTCCCCCAAGGCCACCACCCTGCAGCCATCAGGCTGCAGCTGCTCTTCTCCCAGCTGCGTGGCACCGTAAAGTTATCTAACACAAAACCCACTTGCTTACGGGTACCGCATGCTCACAATTGCAGGCGCCGTTTGGATAACCGGTTCAGAGACAACTACTCATCCTTGTTTAAAAATTAATGTTACTTCTCTTTTAGGGGCAGCTAGTGCCGTACGTGACTAATGGATTTGTCTGGGCAGAGAATAGTTACGGGTGGCACCAGTGTTGTGTGGGACCAGAACATCTGCTCTCTGTGGAACAAATTGTGAATGGGGTTTTGAGCTGTGCATGCACACCAACCCCCAAGGAAAAGGCCACCTCCTTGCTGATCAAGCCTTCATTATCTGTGACACATGGAAAATGCAGGGAGTGAGTCACTGTCCTCCCCGCAGGCAGGATGCTGACCAAGGTGGGAGAGAAAGGAGATGGGGGGAAGAAAACGCAAGGTGAGGGGTTGGGGGTGGTGAGGACAGAACCAGGGTGTCCGAAGCACAGAGACACTCCACAGCGTGGGGCAAGACCTCAGTGGTCTTATCATTCCCCCAGGCACTGGGAGCTGCCATTGCCTCATGTGCTGTACAAGTGATAAATTCATCTGAGGACTGGTTTAATAAGGAAAAATGTAACCTCGGTCCAAACCCAGATTGCGTTCGACCGTGACTAAATAAGGAAACACAGTATTTCATAAATGAGCATCCCACTGAAGACGGCAGCTGCATGTACTACTGGTGCCACCCATCTCCCTTCAGCATTCAGAAAGCAGGTCCCAGCCAACGTTCCCGAGATATTTTCTGCCTATTTCCATCACCAGAAGATAATCACACCCCTGCATTAAGATAATGTGTTTCTTACCAGCTCTTTGATCCTGTCATATCACACAGGCAATCTATAAGATGGTTTCTTCTGTAATGAAGATGCCGGAAGACGAGTCGACACCAGAGAAGAGGACAGAGAAGATCTTCCGCCAGATGGACACCAACCGTGATGGTAGGCACCCTCCAGACGCCGGGGCAGCCGCCTCTGCCCCCATGCTGGGTGGCTGGGGTGTTCTGCCCACATGGGACAACCCCTCAAACCCACCACTCCCCCTTCGGCTGCCCAGGCAAAGTCACCTCCATCCACAGCCAGTGGGGTGCAGGCAGGCAGGGCTTCACCTTGCAGGGTTGCTTTCTCAGGGATTATCCTTGGGGCCCCCCCAGGTTCCTTCCACTGTGCTTGTCCAGAGGCTTGGCAGGTGTGCTGCGACCCACCACGTGCGCTAAGCAAACGTGTTTCTTTTCTAGGAAAGCTTTCTCTGGAAGAGTTCATCCGAGGAGCCAAGAGTGATCCGTCCATAGTCCGTCTCCTGCAGTGTGATCCCAGCAGCGCCGGGCAGTTCTGAACCCATTCTTTGGATGAATTATGTATCTGCTTTTTTTTTTTTTTTTCCTTGCCAAACAACATTCATGGTAGTGTTGCCTCTGTACGGCCAATTATGCCTTCATTTGTGGCATCTTATAGCTTCTTTTGTTGTGGATTAATTATAAGAATGCTGAATTGCTCTTAACAATTTGTCCAGAGCACGGGCAGTACTGTTTTAAACAGATATTGTGGTGTTATCATTGTTTTAAAGATTTTGTTTTGTTTTTTTGTTTTAACGTGTCTGTTTTGGAAAGTAAGCGTTGAGAAGGAGTAAACCAACAAGAAAACCCTTGGCAGCAAGACACACTGACAGATTTTAGATTGCTGTTTTATTAGCTAAGTATTCACCCGCAGGACCTGAAAGTGTAGTACAGATTGAACCAAAGGGGTTGTGATGGGTGGGGTAGGATTCACCTGGAACCTCCTCTCTTGTCCAGGAGGCACCAGTTAAGGTCAGAGACAGGTTCAGGAAGAAGTATGAAAGTGCAAAACGTGCAGGGTGTATCGTCCACTCCCCTGCTCCTATGCCTCATTGTTACAATGCTGTGAACATTTTCCAGGTTGGGAAGGAGAAGGGAAAAAAGCAAAGGTCGATTTTTTTTTACTAGGTTTACAGTGGCTGATTTCACATGGCTTTATCTGAAAATTTTGCAAGGAATTTGCAATCCTGATCCCCAAATCCACAACTGACAATACCTCTTGCCATTTGGGATCAGCAAAGGCAGACACAGGTGTGGAAAACTGGGTCTTGACAATGAATTTAAGGGAAATACATACTGAATGTGAAATTTTCAGGTTAGTAATAAAGCAGTGTCTACTAAGGAGAGTGGACATCACGTGAGGAACTCACGGACACCTGCCAGCAGCTCCAGCTGAGGCACGTCTGCTGTTCTGAATGCTCTTGCACAGTATGAAGTTTTGGGGGTGTTTTTGTCTCTCTCCATGTAGCTAACAGAGTTTCAGGGCCTGCTCTTAGGGGAAGGCTGTCATCAAAACTTGTTTTAAACATAAAATTGTAGCATTTATATTTCATTTATTTTAGTAAAGTTAAAAAAATCTGTACTGAAACAAGGAAATGGTACGCTTTATGGTATATTTATATATATAAAAATTAAAACAAAAAAAAAGATCAGCTCTTGAGAGAAATGTTGAATGTTTATCTTTTCACCTAGATGCAGGAGTTCTGAAATTTGCTGCTGCAAAGCTTTATCCTTTGGTCAAAGTTATTGTATGCAAAGCTAGTACACATACGTGGGATTTCTTAGGAACTTTACAAGTGCTGCTGCAACAGAAAAGCTTTAGCGACAGGACGAATTACGCTGACTAAATTGGCATTAATCTGTCATTAGCTAAAGTCTGCTCTGTGATCCTGTTGGAGAGGTACCCATGTAGGCAGTGCACAGCATTGGGAATTCATGAGCTCATTAGAGTAACCTTTGTCTGACAGGCAGGGTTGGCATTTTGTCAAGTGACCTTGTAGATGCTAATCCCCAGTAGCCTTAATTTGAAATAAACTAAGTAAAATAAGTCTGATTTGCAGATGATGATTAGCTGAGTACTAATTAGAAGTCAAGAATAAGTAGCCAGGTATGAATAATTTTTTGTTGAACACTATCTAGCATGTACAATAACCGAAAGAAAAAATCCTAGACTTAATTTTTCCATACCATTTGCTTTGCCAGGTATGAAGTGCAGAGCATATGAAAGTAAAATAAAAATAAATTGAAAATAACATGGCTAATCAGTTGTAGTAAAATGATTATGAGTGGCTAATTACACTCAATAAATGTATTCAGGCACACACCTTTGTCTCAAATAATGTCAGAAATCCAGTTCATGATAAATTCCCGTTATAGTAATCAAAATACCGAGAAGAGATGTGTGTGGGAAAATGAGAAAGCAAAAGGGGTCCAACCACAGACAGAAACAGATTTCAATACCTAGCATTTTTAGCTGCTACAAGCATCACTGGCAAATTTTGCACCAGTTCTTCTGGTTGATGGAAATGTTCCCTATCTCTCCCTAACCTTCATTAGACATCCTGTGCACAAATCTAACCCTTCAAATGAGAGCCTGTGCCTATCCTCTTCAAGGTAATCTTCTGCTTTACCTGGAGAGGTCCTGGCCCTCTCTCCCGTATCCATCACCGCACGTATATTGAAAGCCATGTTCCCTCTGAAGTGCTCTGAGGGCTGTTTTTCAGCAGGACGAGGCTGGCCAGACGGCTGGGGATCGCTGCAGGAAGGTCAGGGGCCATGCACTGACCCACACCCCCTCTGTCAGACGGGGGTGACCAGCCCCACTGCCCCAGCTGCTCCCGGGGTGCTCCCACCACCACCGCTGCGCGGGCAGGACTGGGTGACACTAGAGGAACCCTGCCGAACTCCTGACCTACCTGCTCAGTGCAGGCACCCAGACCCAAAGCAGCCCAGACCTACAGAACCTGCATTTACTGGAGGTGAACTTGGATACTTTCTACAGCCCCATCTTCCTCTCAGTGTTGTGAAAGCGGTTGCATGTGACTGAAACTTCTAAAACATTGCCTTTTATTTAAGCAACTGCATTCTAGCTCTTTTTAGTTTTATATTTCTGGCCCTGAACCTAATCTCTCCGTTTGTTTTTGCTCAGTAGCTGTGGGGCTCAGGGGCCAGGCTTACTTCACGTGTTAGTACTGTGCAACACATGTTTGAAAACACAACCTGTGATGTGACCCCAGGCGGAGATGTAATTCTTCCCACAGTTCACAAAAGCTGGAAGAATAAGAATTAGCCTACAGCTGCAGAGGACGTAGCTGGAGATAAGACTATTGTATAAACTGTTACAGAGTGAATTAAGGTTATTCTTTTACCTGACTACCACTGGTGATTAGTATTGTTTTAAATTAACTATCCCTTTCTTTCTCTGCCTCTGCATGTACGTTAAAAGTGATCCGTAGCTGGAGTTGTGATAGGAGCATCTGCAGACCTCAGATCAGCAGGACAGCAGTGGTGTGCTGCTCCTTGAATTAGAATTTTCTGCTTTGCTGCCATTTGCATTTGCAATCATAACTGCCTTCATAAACCTCTTGAAGAAAAAATGACCTATCCTGTATAAAATAGCACAGCAGGTCAGATGCTTTCAAGAGATCAATTAGCAATATTTCCATACAGGAAGGATGGCAGACAGCGCATAGTATTTCACATCACCTCCCAATTTTGTAGATGCATTCTCCAGTATTAGTTGCATGTGAACGAGGTAATCTCCACTCAGTGTGTTGTCCAAATGCACTAGTGAGTACATCCCGCATGTAGACTGAATCCATGGAAAATAACGGTCCCATTGAGGCAGCATTCCCAGTCAGCTTGCCAAACACTGGGCCAGAGGTTGTGAAGTGAGGACTATGACTTGTGTGATCTGCAGCAGCCTGTCTTTGGTTTAGAGTGCTTTGGGAAGGGGAAAGGGAATACAACCCTTGTAAAACCAGCAGGCATGTGCTTTCGTGAACGCTTATGGTTTGAGAAGGACTGAAGAAAGATCTATGTTTCAACGTTATTTGAAGCCTTGTGGGTTCACAGCAGTGAATGTTCCTGAGGTACATGGAGCTCTGCTGTTCCTCTTGCTGTTCTTAGGAGCTTCTAGGATTTTCACCTTACTGTTGGGCATTTTGTCCTTTGTTGTTCTCTGTTATAAAGCACGACCTCCACATTTTCTAGACACTGCTGCATAAAAACAAAAGCCAGAAGTGTGTAACTTCTGCAGCTGGACGAGGTCTACGTGCACACCAGCACAAGAAGTGGTCACACATAACCAAGTCCCCCATGGTTTAATAACTGCCCCTGGGAGCTGAGCCCTGAAACTTTTCAGCAGGTACTCTTCATTGATGGCAAAGGTGCAGTAATGTGCCTTAGCTTAATTTTCTTTCACTGCAGACCAGGCTAAGTCACATTACCTTGCATTTGCTCTGGGCTGAAAGTGCACACATGGGCAGAAACCTCAGCTCAGCTGACTCATGGAAACTTGGTGAACTGTGGTAACTTGATGTTGAGCCCTAATCTGCAGACTAAGCCGAGATGAGAACATGGCCATAGCCATACGTCTCCCAGTACATGTGAACTGGGGAACACGGTGACAACTGGCAGGTGCCTGGGGACACGTGGCGGTGGGGAGGGAATCTCCTGCCTCAGAATGAAAACCCTGAGCTCAGATGTCTCCCTTCTTTTAAAACTCTCTCTGTTTTTTTTTTGTTTTGTTTTTTTTTTTTTAGCAACACTGGTGAAGATGCAACTTGATAGCAATATAGCACGGTCAGGATAAAGGAGGCATCCTTCAAAAGAGTTTGCTTTTGAAGCCTAGCATACAAGCACCAAGTGAAACAAGCAGAGGGGAGGGCTGGACAAGACCTCCTGAACACCTGCTACGACAGCACCTCCTTTTGTCTTTCTCATGGTGCTCCCTCGGTTTCCTGGAGAGGTGGTCCTTGGGCTCAGGAGTTAGGTGTCAGGTAACTGGTGCAGGACCGGTGGAGAATAATATTTCACCTGCCTTTTGCACAATCATTTGGGATGCATTCTTTGCTTTGTGTCTTACTGGGTGGGATCTCATGTAGGAGTCTTAAAGTGGGGGAAGTCTGTTTCCTTGGTATCGCAGGCAGAACTTGTGCTTAGAAATGCAGAGAAACTTGGCAAGTGTCAGACAGCTGAGCAACGCTCAGAGCTGCATGCGGAGTTTTCCATTGACTGTGCAGTAGGCAGATAAGATACAAAGCAGTGATATGTCAGACTCGTGGTGTGATGTGCTCTGAGATAGGGCTAGACCAGAAATGGCACCTTCTAGAGCAGCAGCTCTGTCTGATGCATATTCAGTCAGAGGTGCTGACAAAATACACTTTTAAATACCTTCAGCATGAACATGCAGCTGCAGGAGTAGAATAAATCTGCTCTTTCTTACATATAAACAACAGAGCTGTTTGCTGTGCCCCAGTTAGGAGTTGAACAAACAGCTCCCAGGAGGAGCATAAGGCACTTCCTAAGTGTAACTGAGGGTAAAACATTGCCTGCAGGAGCTTTCTTCCCAGTTGTGGTAGACGAGAAGGGAAAGTTCCGTTTGACTCTCAAAGCCCAGGTGCCATTTTGCAGGCCAGGGAAGGTTAGAAGAACAGCTGTGTTTTAAGCACATGGAAGGAAGAAGCAGCAGGGTCTGTAAATTGGCATGGAAAGCGGTGACACTAGAAATCGAGAGCATCGTTGAGGGGCTGCAGAAGCTGTTAGGTGGCTCTGGCATTCAAAGCAGTAGAACGATCAGTTGGATGCAAAGTCAGTCTTCTCGTCCCTTGTAGAAACCATCCCTGGCTGCCATGGATCTCAGTTAGCAGCACCCCTTACCCCAGCCTGGCTTTTGTTGTTGTTGCTTCCAAATCATCCATACTGAGAAGTTGTGTCAGGGGTGAGGATTTTCACAGGATAACATATAAAGCTTTTCAGATATAGTCTCCATATTTTGACAAGTAACAGCTGGCAAGGCCAGATGGGAGGGGCTTTTTGCAAAGGACAGATTTGATTTCCTCATTGTTCCCACAGGTCATAAGTGTTATTTTCATATGTATAGTTGGGATTAAGCTATCTCATGTAAAATGCTGACCAGTGCACAATAAACAAGGCAAAAAACCCCACCTTAGGATGTAGTGAATAATGTGAAAAGACTAGAGAAATTAAAAACTGTAAGAGACATCGCTGCCTTTAGATCAGGGTCTGAATTCACAGGGTGAAAATCCCTTAGCAATAGCCAGCACAGAATAGCTCCTCTGTGCCAGCCCAGTCTGTGGGACCTCCTGGGCTTCTTTGACCCCCCGTCACCTTCTGCCAAGGCTGGGGACTCTGGGTTCTGCCACAGAGATTGTCATCTGAGTTTATTCAGCCTGCAGAATGCTTCCCCAGTCTCAAAGCACATGACAGCCACCCTCTCTGTAGTGTTCACTTACTGTGCAGCTGAGACAAATCTTTGATCTTCCCTTCTTGCCCTGATCTTATACCAAAGATGTTCTCACCTTCCTAGGGCAGGCGCTCAGGATGTCCATCTCTCCAAGGCTTTGTGCCCACCTCCCAGTTTCCATCCCTACTCTCTGTGTGAGTGAACAACTAACACCAGCCCTTGACATCTGGAAGAGCCAGGCATTTAGAATAACTTCTGACATGGTTCCCAGCCTTTGGCCCTCCTGTGTGTACCTTGCCAACCACACTATTTCCTATTATTAAGTAATGGCAGTATTAAACATTTCAAGAACACACTGAACCTCTGGAACAATGTGGTTTTCATTATTGTGTATGTGTTTGCCAAGGCACGGCAAACTGAACCTGACTGGTGCTCGCTCTCCACTCCTGTGGTTTGTACCACAGAGATCTGATTTCTTCCAGGCAGGAGCAGCATCTTCCTGTGCATCACCATTCAGCGTGTGGTGCCCCAATGCTGCCTAGAGCACCCAGATGGTGTGGACCAAGAGATAATTTTGGTGCAGTAATGTCAGACAGAAACTCTCCCTGCCATCTGTCAAAAACACGTGCTGAGGGTGTGACCGCTGGTTTTCTCCTCCCTGGGGACAAGGTATTCAGGGTTGGCCTCACATTCCCCCACCAAATGGGATGATAGTGATTAGTAAACCCACCTGAGAAAATCCTCTTAATTCTAAGCTTTGTTTGTGCTGTTAATTGGCTGCATTCAGAGGGAAGATTAATGGGTCCTCTGCAGTTGTTTTGGGGAGAACTTGCAGTTCTTTGCCATGACCACCTTTTTATTTTCTGTCATTAGTTTATTCCCATTTCCAGGGCAATTAAATAGTTTTTATTAGTATCTGAGAGAAAAAGAAAAAAACAAAACCAGAGTTTCAATCTGATAAAGATCTAAGGAAGCTTACTAAAGACATTGTACTCCATGTCAGTCATATGATTGCTCTACAAGATCATGTTTCTTTGGTATTTTATGTTTAATTTCCTTATTCATGTTTTAGCTGTGTTTGTGATCTATTTATTTATTTTGGATCCTCTTAGATTCAGCCCTGCCCGTTGTTTAGCTCATATGCTAGCAGAAGTCCCAATGACCCCAAGAGCAGAGCTGCCTGAGCAAATGCCAGCAAGGTGGGCTCACTGTGCCTAGTAAAAATTAAGTGCTTAATTAGGTTAGGGATTATTTTTTGTCTACACATTTGCTACAAGGAGAGATTGAACTGCATTTTGATATGCTTATCTCTTCCACTTGCTCACTTCAATTCCATCCAAGCAGTCTTGTAGTTAATATTTGTATATTCAGTTTTACTTTGCTCTTGAACCCGAGGTGACCAATATCAGCTTTCTCTGAAAGAAGTACTTGATACCTTTTGATTTTTACATATTGCAGAGTGAATGATGTGATGGATGCAAAAGTAAATAGTTATACATTTGTTTGTGTAAATTTGGGCAGGTATTTTTGATGCTGTAGAGACTAATAAATTGAGATAAACCATGGCCAAAAGCTGAATGGATCCAACTGTCCAGTTCCCATTTAAGTCCATGACCATTCCGCAGGGAAAGCTTTCTCATCTCTGTTCCCTCAGGCTGTTTCTACGTTGCAGTATAGAGTAGAGATACGAAAACTAAATAAGCTACCAAGGGCATACTAACTGCAGCAGCATGGAGTTCAGCATATCCTGTATCTTGACAAAATTAGATACCTCTCTAGATGAATACTTGGTAAGCAAACCTACATATCCTAAGGAAGACTTTTACAAATTAGAAAGGAGAGGGATGACTATGAATTAAATTAATTTGGTCAGCATATTTTTCTTATGGCTGTCTAGAGTTGCTAGCATCCTGCGTGTAGTTGCCTATAGCTATCGTGATGTGTTAATTTTCCCCTCTGGTTCTGCTGTAAGCTCATCTGGTGATATTCCGAGTCTCCAGCCAGTTCTCAGACAGGCAAAGGCCACGGAAGGAACATCTAGAGGTGAGATGAGATGCCTTCAGGAAGACTAAGGGCAACTCTCAGGATTCGGCCCTGTGTTGTTGCATGCTTTGGGAGCATGTACCCGCAGCGTGACACATTAAACCTACCCAATAAAATGGAAGTAGATGATCAGGCCATCAGAGGAGATGGAGAATTTGGTGGAGGGTTGTGTATGTGTTTTGTGCCCCCAGCACGCGCACTGTTCCCCCTGCTATTAATTTCCAGTTAGGACCTTTCCTGAACTCTTAGTGTCAGAGTAAAATTTTCTTATGCTGATAAGGTATTTGTATTACGCAACGTACTCAGAAAAAAAAAAAAAATTATCTCTCTATGACTGTCCTCTCCTCTCGAGAAGATGTTCTCTTCTGTACATACGATATGCAGAATGTATGGGAGTCTTACCAGTGTTGGTTTGCATTTTTAAGACTGTACTAATTAATGTGTGATACTATTGTGTTTTCGTAGTGGCATCTTTGTTGTAAGATGTAAAAACTATTTAAAGTGATTTTATTTTTTTGTTATTGTTCAGCTTTTAGAGATAGCACCAAGGACTGACTGCATGTTCACTAGAATCAGCCTTTTTCAAGGGCTGTCATAGCTGCACACAACACAGGTGTTTCACCTGGAGCATAGTACCTGCGTTCTCGTTTTAATAGGGGTCAGTTTTGAGTGGAAACTAATTCTTCCTGAAAAGTCTAGTTTTCTGTCTTACCCTCTCTCAGACTCAAGCTTCCCCCTCCTGTCCTGTGTGCCAGTCCCAGCCCCAGGAGGAGACCTCGAGGAAGGTCCCCTAACCCGGGGCACCCTGCTGGCCCCAGCACCAGGCTTCCTTATCCCTTAGCTCACCCACGTGCACACTCGGTTTTCCTTGGCACTGCTGGCTATACCGGGACGAAACCGATGGGTTCACATTTTAAGACCATTTGTGCAAGTGACTTTAAAATTAATTAACTAAAATTTTGAGGAATTAAGCAACTAAGGAAAAAAAGAGCCTGAGTGGCATGATTGGGGTCAGAATTTTATTGGGGTGCTTAATATAGCGAGAACTTGGGGTCAGTCCCTAAAAGACAGGACCGACTTGGGGGCTTAGGTCTACGTTTCTTGTCAGGTCTGCAGAGAGAAGAGGGGCTCAGATTCAGCCTTTCAGGCAGAGCTGACTTACTCAGAGGATTGAGTCTGAGAGATGCTTCTCCAGATCGTGTCCTGGGCCAAAAGACAAGACATGCTGCAGCTTAGGAGTTGTTGTTTTTTTTTTTTTTTTCTTTTAGTTTTTTTCTTTTTAATGGAGAAAGCAGTTCAAACTGCACCTGGCAAAATGACTGACTTCAAAAGCATGTTTTTCCTTGTTATATAGACACTCACAAAACAGCATTGTGTGGTTAAAAAGGCGCGTTTGTGATAGTTTCTTTTTCAGTGCCAAAATATATAAGCAGTATTGTTTGAAGGGAAATAAGAATTTTTTTACTGTATTGTTATTACTGTTGAACAAATATTGTTTTTAAATGTTAGATTTTGAAGACTTTTGTATTGTAAACTGTTTTGTGACATGGTGCTTTTTCATACTGGAATTACTAATTGCACCTAAATAGGAATTATTTTGTTTTCTTATATAAATATGTAACCTTGAACAATCTTGATGAAAACCAGTGTATGGTGGATACCAATGGTTCAAACAAATTCTCCTACTGAAATCCCCTAAATGTTCTTTCCTACTAATAAACATTCTGCTGCAGCTAGCTGTGATGTGCCACGTGCTGTTAATCCCTTCACACCGGAGCCTTAAGGCCTCAGGTAGCCCCACGGCGCGCTGAGCAAACCTCAGAGAAGCCTTTGCCTGCTGTCCTGGCCTGCTCACCGCCGCGGGCAGCGGGGCAGCAGCTGGCCAGGCCAGTCTGGAGGGTTTAACGAGGGCTTAAGCCGTGCACGGGCGCTGTGCCGGCACGTTGCAGCCGGCTGGACTCTCCGCTGCTAAAACAGTTTTTCCTCCAGCGGCTATTGCTGGCAGCCAGGCACAGAGCGAGATAACACGGGGTGGTTTATAAAAGGAAAGGAAGGGCAGCACGAAGCTGAGAGCTCTAACCCTCCGGAGCTGGAAAGGCCATCTTAGCTGGCTGATGGGAGCTTTCCCTGCTGTAGATAAATCCCTCTCCAGGTTTAGGGCATTTTTTAATCCCGGAATGACTAGCAAACTGCCAGGGGGGAAGGATGCGGGGAGGTACCACAGCTTGGTAGGGTGGTAGCTGTGGTTAGTTGCTCTGGGACATGGCTTCATGGGGCGGCAGTAGAGCCCAGCACTGCAGGGGCTCCTGCCAGCCTCAGCCAGGCTCTGCCAGGGGCTGGCTCACGCTCCTGTGCGTGCTCCTTAAACTCCTCAAACTTTTACCTAGGTTAAATTTCAAGCTGGGATTAGCACCAGGGTGCTAAGAGTAGTTTAAATCCCGCTGGAAGGTAACTGAAGCCAGTGCCTGTTTCCTCTTGAGATTAAAAAAAAAACCCAGCCTATTTATGGAATTGCACATTAATATGGGCTTGAAACAGGCTGGAGCCTGGATGCAGCATCAGTTACATCATCCAGGCATCCTGCGTGTTCAGTGGACCTTCAAACTGGCGTTATTACATGAGCTTCCAGGGTGCCAGACTCCCTGGGATACACGCTCTACTCACCCTTCCATTAGGGTCATAATAATATTTAGCATTAAGGTGTAAAAAAGGCAGGGGTGTAAGGTGTTTATTTGCATAGGGGTGCTAAAATCCTCCACTTACTGCCTTTGCTGGCCCGTGTGTCTCCCTGTGCAAAGCCCTAGGCTTCCGTCCCAGGTCAGGGATGTGGACAGGCTCCCAGCGCAGAGCCTGGCTTCAGGTGGTGGCCACCACCAAGCACCTGAGCACATGTTGCAGCCCAGGACTGTCCCTCCCGCCGCCTCAGGGTGGAGGAGACCCAAGACCCTGTGACCCTGTGGGCCCTGGATGTGGCTCCATGTGGGAAAGAGCACAGTCTGGAGTCAATCACCTGTTTTGGCAACACAAATGGAGCTGAGAGCTTGGGAAGGTGCTGAAAAACACAGCTTTGCTGCCCTATGGAGTCCCCTAAAGAGTCAGTCAAGAGCTAGAAGAGGGGTGTTTTGGTCCCCTCTCCTAGGAGACGGTCAGTTTTTCTTAAAGACCTTGTGGGTCACCTTGCAAAACCCTCACTCAGCCATGCCAGAAACGCTCCTGAGCACGCTGTGGGTGCAGCAGTTCCCACCGGCCAACACACTTTCCTCACTCTCCACAGCCTCACAGACAGCACTTCCAACCACTCAGCCGTTAAAGCATTCACATTTTTAAGAGCTACACAGTAAAATTTCTTCCTATAAAACACGATTAAATATCTGTCACAGGCAGTACCCAGGAAACGTGATTACTTTAAAGAGCCCCATGGGAGCTGCTCCTGGCTCACCCTGAACTGCTTGTCCAGATACTATCCCTGGGGCCTGGAAAAGCCCCCAAGAAACTCCCCAAAATCTGCTGGACTAAAGAACCACAGGGGCAGGGGCAGCACCATGGGCTGTGAGCTTGTCCATGGGGGCTACCAGCACTGCAGCCAGTCCCATGCCTGCCACCATATATATATATATATGACTTTATATACATGCAGCTTTTGGTTTCTGCTGTAGCTCAGGTACCAACTGCAGACGGGTGGTGGGGGAACACAGGCTGCACTGGAGACTGTCATCAGGGCAAAGAGCATGTGGTGGGAGGGAAATGAGTCTCTAGTTCCCAGTGCATCTGGGAAGACCTCTTCAGCTCTTGGTTAGTAGGTCATACTCACCAAGCACCTAGTCCCTAGCCCTGCTGCCGTATCACAAACAAACAGCTGACAAATACTTTTCAAAATTATTAGAAAATGCCAAGCACACATGGAAAGTTCTTTTTTTTTTGAAACCTTTGGTGGCTGTGAAAAGGCTCTTAGAGCTGGATACAACTAGATGAGTTTTGCTTGGATGGGGATGGGGAAAGGGTGGAAGAAGCTGGGCTCTTGGAGCCAACACTCTGCTGGCGAAGACATTTCAGGTGAATTAACTTTCCTCATTGCTCAGGTCTGGTCTCTGCCTGGCACAAGAGAGATCTCAGGGGTTGGCTCTTCCACGGCAGCTTGTCCCACTCAGGACTTGTCCTCGGCAGGAGCACTGAATTTCGCCCCATGGTAAGACAGGGCTGCCTCCTGCTGCTTGGGCAGCCTCCCTTTGCTGAGGTAAATGCTTTCCCAAGCAATTTCCCACTTAGACGTTCTCACCTCCTGGATTCTTGTTTGAAAAGACAAAGCCAACTGGTGGAGAATAAAATGGTGAATGAAAATGTTTTACTGCGAGATGCGTGGCCAGGTATGCTTCAGTGCTTTGGGCACGCAAGGCACAGCAGGAGCAGATGCAGGGAAGGATCTCATCCCAGGTGCCCTGGACTCCAAAGATGTTAGTGCCAGTGCTTCCAGCTGGGTTCCCAGGGCACTCCAACATGACACAGAATGGTTGAGGTTGGAAAGGACCTCTGGTAGTCATCTGGTCCAACCCTCCTGCTCAAGCAGGACCACCTAGAGCTGGTTGTCCAGGACTGTGTCCAGGCAGCTCTTAAGTATCTCCAAGGATGGAGACTCCACAACCTCTCTGGGCAACCAGTGCCAGTGCTTGGTCATCCTCACAGTAAAAAAGTGTTTCCTGATGTTCAGAGGGAACCTCCTGCATTTCAGCCTGTGCCCATTGCCTTTGGGCCTGTCACTGGGCACTACTGAAATGAGCCTGGCTCTGTCCTCTGCACCTTCTCTTCAGATATTTATACACACTGATAATATGTCTCTGGAGCCCTCTCGTCCAGGCTGAACAGTCCCAGCTCTCTCAGCCTGTCCTCATAGGAGAGGTGCTCCTATCCCTTCATGAGGTTAGTGGTCCTTTGCTGGTCTCTCTCCGGTATGTCCATGTCTCTCTTGTACTGCAGAGACAAGAACTGGGCCCAGAACCCCAGGTGTGGCCTCACCAGCACTGAATAAAGATCACCTCCCTCGGCCTGCTGGCAATGCTTTGCCTAATGCAGCCCAGGACACCATCAGCCGTCTTCGCTGCACGTGCACATTGGTACAACCTGGTGTCCACCAGGACTCCCAGGTCCTTTTCTGCAGAGCTGCTTTCCAGCTGGACCATCCCCAGCATGTACTGGTGCATGAGGTTATTCCTCCCCAGGTGCAGGACTTTGTACTTCCCCTTGCTGAACTTCCTGAGGTTCCTGTCAGCCCATTTCTCCAGCCTGTTGAGGTTCCTCTGGATGGCAGCACGACCCTCTGGCGTATCAGCCACTCCTCCCAGTCATCAACAAACTTGCTGAGGGTACACACTGCCCCCTCATCCGGGTCATTAACGAAGATGTTGAACGGGACTGGACCTGGTATTGACCCCTGGGGTACACCGCTAGTCCCTGGCCTCCAACTAGACTTCATGCCACTGACCACCACTCTCTGGGCCCAGCCCTTCAGTCTTCAATCCACCTCGTTGTCTGCTCATACAGCCCGTACACCAACAGCTTCTCTGTCAGGATCTCACGGGAGACAGTACCAAAGGCCTTACTGAAGTCTGGGTAGACAGTAACCACTGCTCTCCCCCCTCTACCCGGCCAGTCACTGAACCCCTGTTTTGGTGATTATTTTTTTCAGTCTCTGTTCTTGTTTTCTCAGTAGAATGAATTTCTATTTTCTTCTTTTTGAAAAGTTTTCTGCATTCAGAAGTAGAAACTCAATCCCCAGTATGTAGTAATACACACCACAGCAACAGAAATATTATCTCATACATAGGAATATTTATTTTTTTCCTTCTTAAAAATGTACAAAAAAATAAAATAACTGTATTTACAGTTTATCAAACCCCTCTCCCAGTTGCAACACTATTAAGTTACATGAGCTATTTTCTTAATATAAAAGCACACTATTTATACATAAAGTTTCCTTATTTGCCAGAAAGAGGGCTTGTCACAAACTTTGGCACAAACATTCTTGTTTGTATCTTGTCTCAATTCATAGGAAATGGAAGAGCATATAAACATTTCATAAGCTTTACATTTTAAAAGTCATAAGATACTCCTTTTCAGTTCCACACCAATCAATATACAGCATCTCCAACAGCTAGGAAATTTAGTTTTTACTAATTGTTTGAATTCATTTACAACATTTAAACAATCCACAGACTGAAAGAAGAAAATATACAAGACTCTTGATCTCTGGATTCCATTGACCAAACACTTCATGAGAGAGGACACACAGGAAAAAAAAAGTTCTGTTCCTTGTAGTTTACATTCAGTGGTAAAAATCCTTCAAAATGTCTTGATGGCGATCTCACTGAAAGCTTCACTACAAGGAAGCACTTTATTTTAGGGATATCAGCACCTGACTGTGTAGAAAGAAACTAAAATCTGAGACTTGGGGGTTTCGTAATAAAACATCAAGTGGACGGACATAGTACCAAATCTGTAGCGGGAACCAAAATTAGAATTTAGAAGACTATTTGCCTTTTGCACATCCCTATCAATGAGTCTTTCAAAACACATCTACAGACACTGCACTGCTCTAATTCTTCATAGGGAAATTGAGTTGAGCAGCAAGCCACCCTTCAGGCTGCACTAGTTAAGATTCAAGACCACTGTCTTGAAGAGGAAAGGAAGTGAGAGTTTTGTTCTTTTAAATAAACAACCACAGCAGCGTCACAAAGAGACAAAAGGAGGCAAGGCAAATACTTCTGTCCCCTGCTGAAGAGTAGCCAAATCTTACTTCCATTTAACTCATAATATTTGGAAGATCCAGCATTAATTTTTTTCATTAAACAAAGGCAACATGCATGTTTTAGATTATATACATGCAAGCACTTTGTACTCCTCAAGACCTCTGGATTAAGTAGGGCATGGGGCAGGCCACCGCTTCAGAAGTTTGCATTACTCTTACTGGCCCTTTCCCATCACTTTGATAGCCTGTTTTTGACCAACAAGATGAACCCTGAGAGCTTGTAGCTTGCCATGACCAGCATCCAAGGTTCAGTGCTCCTCCAGCAGCTGATGCTGTAACTAGAGCTGAAGGGGTTCAGGGTGATGTGCTCTTTGTAACGTCTCAGCTGCTTGCGATGCATCTGCATCTGGAGCAGAGAAACAAATCCCTCAGACCCTGGTAGATAAAGTTAAGGGAGATCATCCTTAACTAGATCTAGCTGTTTTAAAATAATCTTACCATCAGCGTAAATCTTACTCATCTTCCTCAACCCTGCTACCTTCATTGAGACTGTAAGAAGGAACTAATGGCAGGAGCATCAGCTTTCTTGTATCAGGAATTCGCACACTTTAAGATGTATTTGGAAAAGCTTTCAGTTAATCTTGGAAGCAACTTTCCTTCTCTGGACAGTGCCTGACCAAAAGATCCTAAAATGGCAATGGAAAGATAGCTCCTTAAGCCTCAGTATTTCCTGGAGCTTCGCACTTCTCACTGATCCTACACTGCTCCTTGGTACAGGATGCTGCAGCATCCAAAAGATCCCAGCTCATCTCCACCCACGTGTAAGACAAGAATTTCCTGTTAACCTGAATGCTGGTGCTGCCAGGACAGCCCTGTCCTTCCCTTGTGAACCCCAAATTCTCACTGTACTCTCTTAATGCAACACATCCCAACCTGAGCCAGCCCCAGGCGCTACAGGCATTCCCTCTAAGTAAGGGAGCTTGATGGCAAGTTGCTGGAGGAAGAACCAGGGCTCGACTCCTGTGTACGTTTACTCCTATGTTTCATCTGCAGCTTCTGCCCAGACATCAAGATCAACTGAGAGTTCCCAGCCAATATTCTTAGGATCCCAAACACCATCAAACAACAGAGAAATACAAGAACTAACACCACTGCTCACTAGTCCCGTGTGCTGGTCCCAGCTCCTAATGCCACCTGCCAAAACTGTCCTCCATTTTTCCTTTAGGAAAAAAGTATCTGGGCTAAGTCAGCATAGACTTTTTATCTGAGCCTGATCCAAGTAGAAACAAACCGAACCACCATAAATCTCCTGTATTGCCAGGATGTCTGCTCTTGAGCAGCGTAGCAAGACCATCTTTGCTGGAGTACATGTTTATAAAAAGATAAAGGAATTACTACAAAACTCTGCATCAGAAGGAGAAAGAGCAGATGACAAAGGAAGAAGGAGGGACGGAGGGGAGGAAGGAAAAAAACAGAACAGACACTTTGCTTTGCAGACATATGTGCATGCTAGCCCTGACACCAACAGCCTGAACTTTTTATAGGTTCTGGTCCCACAGAAACTTTGACAGGTATCTAACATTTCTATTTGAAGTACAGATTTTAATGGGATGCTATTGCTAATGAAGTTAGAAAAGTTTGTGAGAGCTTGCAGGATAATTCATGCAAAAACATGACCAAATCTGACTGGTTAGCTACCCCAGCTACTTTGCTTGAATGTAAATAGCTCCGCACAGCTCAAAACACTACAGAATAAGCCCTGTTAAATAAGGCAGTGTTTCTTTACGCCATTAACCACCTAATGAAAAAACGATTCTGTGACTAAATCAAAAGAAGATTTCAGAAGGAAAATAAAATGTAGTCTAAGGGCTGCATGTAGGAAAGGACCCATGTTTCTGTCACATGGGACCCACATACAGTGCACAGAGAATAAAATGCTTGCAGCTGAAACTCACAGGATTACATACTGAATGAGAAGCTCTCTACGAGCTGGAAAGGAGAGTGAGGTGCTGGGTTTGGATGCGCTAGGGACAGTCAGGTCTTGAACCCCTTTCCTGGTACGATTTTAGCCTGCAACTTTCTGTCTTCACAGAATTCATGAGACAGGGGTGGAATTTGATGGGATAACCTTGTAGGTCAACTTGGGTCCAGATCCAGTCCTTGTGAGAGAGACCTATCTCCACACCTCAGTTGTGGGATACTCAGTCTCCACTCATAAAATTGTTTCAGTTTCGATAAAATATTTACATCAAGCCCAGGCTTATACCTCACCCAACTGTCATAGAAACCAAAACAGAATCATTCAATGGATATATAAGATCAAGTACCATTAAGAAGAAGAGTTGGAAGCCCTGTTTCTTACAGTCTAGAGTAATGCTTTAATGAGCAGGCTGCTGTGGAAAGCACCTTTTCCTCCACAGGCTTGAGAAAAGACCACTTTGAGAGCCTCTGCTTCACCAACAGAACAGGCAGAAGTTCCTTTTGTACCTCTAGGCATGCCAGGCAGTAGAGACATGGTGCCTCATGTATTTGGTGACAGCTGGATGGGACATTCGGGTATCTACGGCTGGAACTTGGGCACCTAAGGTGGGTCCCACTGTGCCAGAGCACTCCAGGCCCTGTAGCACAGTTTGCTCCAACGTTTCAGTATAAAACCGGGTGGGCAAGGTTGGAGCATATGAGCGCAGATGCAGTTATCATCTTCTCAGTACACACTCCTTAACAGATTGCAGCAATCTAATCCTCTAGGAAAGATTCTGTTAAACCCTAAACCCAATACATACAAGAACATAGTGGCAGTAAACATGCCCACATACAGTAGTTAAAATATATTATTGCATATTATAAACATTATATACAAGGTTAAAATGGTTTCTTTACCATTTACTTACAAGTGACATTTGTAGCTGAATGCCTTACTTACAAGTCCTCATTGCTACATGCTGAGAACTACCAGAGGTATTTGGCAAGACTATACACTATAGAGAGATATGGATCAGTCTGAGCAAGTGAACTCTGTCAGCCACTTTCCCCATCTTTAGCACTGCACCAGTTTTTTAGCAATGGCAGAGAGAACTACTGGTAAAGTGATTTACACCAAATTTCTGAAACTAGACCAGCACGGTTCCTTAACGTGTTTTAGAATAAGCTTATCCACACTGAAGTATGGATTAAAAGGCTGCATTTCACATTTGCAGTGGGCCATCTGGTTACAAATCTGGGGGTTGGTAACTGCTTGCGCACTAGAGAGTGGGGAACAATAAATAAGGGACCAGGTTAACATGAGTGGCCTTGTGCTTGACAAACCCAAGTCTATATGCAGTGGGTGCACATGTGCATAATGGACAGTATTTTCAAAGCAGTCTTGTAACAGTTTCTCTGATCAATGTCTGTCAAGTTCCCGGGGAATCTTCTGCTTTCCAAGAAGGATGAAATGCTGTGGTTCCTTACAAAAAGGCTCTGCCTCAGGCTAGATCTCTGTCAGTGTGATCTTGAAGCCTTCGACCATGCTCTCCATGTGCAGGATGAATGTGTCCTCATTGGAGTAGTGCTCAATAATGTTGTCATCCATGTTTACCAAGATACTAGTGGCAAAGGCAAAAATCGAAATTTTTATCTACCAGGACACTGAAAAGGAAAGCCATGCACTCTACCACATGTGCTCACTTCACTACAATGCAAAAACAGACGCCTGCAGATGCCAGTACAGGGACAATAGTGGGAATCATCACCAAGATCTGCCTCATAGTCCTTTACAGTCTTTGGACTCCTTGCCAAAGTAGTTAAGGTAAGAGACACGTCAGTGCTGGCACGTTAACCCCCTTAAGCTGCCTACAGGGTGAGCTGCACTCCAGATCCCGGGCAGACCCAGATAGCTGGTGTTTCCCTCCCTTAGAACAGGCTCCCCCAGGTACACCTCTATGCTACTCCTCATCCACGCTGTGTGAGCTCACACCTCTGTGGTGTGAGCTGCTAACACAGTGAAGCTGTATAATTTGTGCTTTGCACACAGCTCACAGGCCTAGAACTCAGCCTGGATGTGAGAATATTGACAACTACTAGAAGTGTATATGAGTGTTTTCCTCACTCTTTACCATAGTGCTTCTTCCAACAAACTTATCACTTGGAAACAGTGTTAGAAAGAAGGAAAACATGAGAAAATTCACCTGTCTTCTCAAAAGCTCAAGAAATCCCCAGACAAAATGATGCCCTAAGCTAGAGTTACAGCTGAAAATAAATGATTGATTTAAAATTGTATCACTACAATATTGTGGTTATTTAGAAGTAAAAAAAGGTCAAGTGGAGAGATTCAGATTTATGGCAAGGAGTAGTAGCATAGCTATTCTAAAATCACAGCTGTGATGCTCATGTCTAAATTTACTCAGCTGAAACCCCTGCAGCATTGCCTGCCTGCCTTTCAGATTCAGACAGTGGCCTACTTCTTCCTAACACTGTAGGGAAACTCCACACCACATCCACAGCAAAAGCTGCAACTCTCCCATGCGGGCGCTCCACGAGGTTATTAAGCATATAGTCTACAAAACAGACTTTATCTACAACATTTTCCAAACACAACTTCTGTTTCTTCACAGTAAGCCTATGAATACTGGTCAGACCCAGACTGGAGATTCATGTTTCCTCCTCTGCCACCCCTTGCTGTCTCTCCACAGGCATTAAGATTTCAAGTGTATGGGCATGTCTCCTAAAAGTGTTTACACTGCCCAGCATCATGAGGCCCCATGCATAGTTGGGATCTCTGAGTGCTTCTAAAGGATCCTGCAATAGCTCCTAGTTAGGTTGCTTACTTACCCCTTTTTGCTCTTCTTATAAAGTTTTGCAATCTTTTCAACTGGCAGCCCATATTTCTCGGAGATCTGAAATCATAAAAATAAAATAAATATCATTAAAGGCTTATGAAAATACCACCTCTCACTTTACATAAGGCATTAAAACATTGTCTCTGCAAACTTTGACAGGTTAGCTATACAGAAAAGTCACTCGCAGCCATACCACAGCTTCATTTAAGTATGATACGGAGAGGAATAATCCTAAACATCTTGATCAAAAACAACAATCATTTCCACGCAGAAACTTGGAGACTATGGTTTTCATAGGGTGTGAGTCATCAAAACTGCCTCAGCGTCTCCCACTACTCTGCTCAAGGAATCAACTCTTTTCCCAGCTTCAGATTTTACCAGGGAATTTAAATCTGATCAGCTGCCTTTCTGTTTTTTCTTATTCTGATTTTCTGGGCTTATGGAAGCAAAGGCTTCTTCCACTGGGCAGAAGGCAGATAAGTAGCAACACAACAGGAGCTGATGGATTGATGGATCAACAAAAAAAATGTGCACATTTCTATTTCTCAATGGCATTTCAAGCTTTGTTAAGGTAACAGGACCCTCCATGGTACTTCTGTCTGAAAAGCATCTTCAAGGTACCTTTTATTGTGGGAGGGCTACAAACCTGCCACACACAGGATTAGGAAGCTTCTGTATTGGTGGGGAGGTGACTCAGTCAAGTTATGCAGGTGGTAAAATGAAAACACCATGTGTCTCACAAAACATCATCTGAGTGTACAGATAACAAGACGAGATGTCACAGAGAAGTGCATTAACAAGGTAAAGGACTTCTAAAATAAACCTCTTGCCAGCTACTCAAATGATAAAGCAGAAAATACAGGAAAACTTTTGAAGGAAGACCTACTTAGCTGACAAATTACTAACACTAACAAGCACTTCACTGGGATGCTTTGGCATTGCTTTGCAGCAGTGTATTAGCAACATCTTTGGACATCCATTCTGCAGGGAGCCTGTGGTATGGCCGTGGAGACGGTGTCCCTGAGCCCTCTGTCCGAGCCATGCTTGCTTTCCAAACTATGACAACTCTTTGAGGGAACAGGTCTCACAGCTAATACTTTAGGAAAGGATTGTCCCAAAAGGCAAAATAATTACAGAAAAATTACTTTTTGTCAGTGATTAACATTCCATGGTACTCTACTGCCAACCAAAGTAAGTTTTCTGCTCTTCCCAGGTGAACTGAAGTTGAAGCTGAATAGCTGACTATTTATCTTCTGCATCAGAGAACTGAAATGCACAGTTAAAAATCCATATAAAGACTGACAAACATCAGTCACTGTAAAAGATTTTCTTTGTGTTTGCATTCAGATTTCCACTGAGAAAATGCGATATTTTAGAGAAGTAAATTAAATCAATTATCATGAAATAGAAAATGGAAGGAAAGCAAACGATCAACTCAGCACCAAGAACAGATTCAAACAGCCACGGGCTGAACCCTGAGCACAGCTCCCATCCAGAGAGACAGGATTCTCTAAGAGAAAGAATTCATTAGCCTATACTTGACTACATCACCTATACTTGTATAATTGTCATCTTACCCAATATACAATTTTGTACTTAAAAATTATAGCGCGACTCCAAGATTTCGAAGAACCAGTAAAGCTTCTTTTACACTGCAGTTTCCTCTGACCACAGCGTAGATCTGAGGCTCACAGAAAGAATAGGATGTAAATAAGGAGTAACTGATAAGATACACCAGACCCATCCACTCCCTAAGTTTTGCACCTAGCAGAGAACAAAATACAAATTAAACCGTGGGTTGTATTTGCTGCTTCAGTTTTACTCACACCAGCATGTTTCACTGCCCTTTTGGCTATGGTGCTGGAGATACTGATGGTAGTCCTGGTTCCATGTTCTCACCTGCCTTGGGAGAGGTCTAATTCAGCATCAAGGCTGCACAAGCTCATATGCTGTGCGGGCACACTCTCCCTGCTGTGGGGAGTGGTCCACTTTGTACATTTATAAGAAGAGAGGCTTCACCCCGCTCATTTTATATCTCACACAAGCATCCTTACTATCAGACTATAAAACCAATCTTTTTCACTCTGAGCTCCACATAGCCTGTGCAAAAGGCTCTGCGTAGCCTACGGAAAAGCTATGCAACCACATACACAGGGTAGAAATGCATCCTACAAAGAAGTTCCATAACTCAGCTCATCTGGAGCAAGTTCAAGTCTTTGCTCCGAAGAGGGCAGAACAAGGGTGATTTGAATCCAGGGTTTTCCATATCCCTGTGTGGGATGTCCTAACCCATCCTTGGGCAGGATCCCCAATAGAAGGAATCACCTACCTCTGGCCAGAATCACTTGTGTAGGTACCCACACCTTACCCCTCACCCACACTCTACCCTTCTAGCACCATCTTTCCACATCTCCCTTCCTTTGACAGCTTGTCCTGTGCTGCCCACGGCGGGCAGCTGACTGACCCCAGGCTGGTGACTCCCCTGGGGTAGCCAGGTGCCACACTGTGAGGGCAAATCTTGACTGTCTTAGATAAGTTCTCAGAGAAACTTTCATGTTCTTCTTTGATTATTTCTTACACTCTAGCTTTGCTTACCATTAACAGAATGACATCAGACAAGCAATCTGGTGCTGAACTTTTGTATCTGTGGTTTTGTTGTACCCCCAAATTTAAGCTTTCATGTAAAGCAATAATAAAAATGGCTTCATTTCATCATATTGCTGAAAAAAATCCTTCATAACAGGCATCAGAGAAAAACTGCAACCTGAAACTGCAGAAAACGTCACAACTGTATGATCATGAGGAAACAATATATCTTCTTCTCTGGGTTGTTAACTCTGAAGTCTACTGATACTGTAAAGATTAGTACTTGAACACACTTTTCATTGACTCCCTGCAAATAAACAAACAGGGAGAAACATTCCTGTGCCAAGGAGGTTTAATAGCAGCTAATATACAGCATTCTGCACATTCCAGAATAAAACTTTCCTAGGATATTTGGGATACCTAACACTCACACATTCCAAATGTTGCTCAAAGTGGTTTGGGCCTCTGGGACATCACTTCCTACATAAGCTATGAGAGGTAGGGCTGAGAAAGCCTTGCCTGTCACACTGCCCGTGACAGGTGCAGGATTCATATAACATGCAGGGATTAGTGAGCTTTGCGAAAGACTTCCAGTTGACTGAATAAGCACATTTCTCAGGAACCCCTAAGGATTCAACCAATTATACTAAACAGCGAGCTGTGGAAGCAAGGCTTGAAGTGGGGGTATGGGAGAGCCTCCCCCTCACAGGCTCAGAAAACAAGTCTCCAGTGCAAATGTGCTAAGTCCTGCTGCAGAATCTGAGAAAGCAGAGAGCTAGCATCTGCTAGGGCATCTCACTTAACACCCGCTTCTGAAACACGTTTGTTGCCAACTCAGGGGAAACACCACTACTGCCAACTTCCATATAAAACAACAGGATTTCTCACCTGACCCCAAGCAAGCTACAATAAATTTCAAAAAGATATCATTATTTGGAGGAATATTTCCCTTTATCATCTCCATTGTCCATTTTTCAATATTCTGAGCAGAGAATTCCTTCCTTCCCTTAGGATGCCTGAAGCAGTGGGACAGCCTTCAGAGTGGCACTGAAAGAACAGTCTGGGTGTCCCTTTGGGCTGCAGGCCCCTGGCATGGCAAGTTTGTCTGTAGCACATGTCTGATTGCACAAGCCACCAGAAACGTTTTCTCTTCTGGAGTCAGGAAGACAAAAAGGGCAACATTTGGGCTAGTCGAGGCACGTAGGAAAACTTCTTTGCCAACTTATTTCTATGGAATGGTTCAGTCTGTTGCCCTGCATCGGTTGGGAGGACACATACATAGACAGGTATCTAATAAACTTTGCTCTATGCAAGCTCTATTGAGCTCAGCTGTTAGCTTTTAATTTTAGAACAACTTTGGGAGATTACCTGAATTTCCTGATTTAGATAGCCTTCTGTAATTTCAATAAATATGTGATTCTGCACAATGTAAGACTGGGGTACCTACTAAGATCCACAGAGTTAACCTGACTTTGGATCGGGCTGACAGCAAGATTTAGAACTGGTCAGTCATCACATGTGTGATGTTTTGTGATGGGTAACTGTATCACTGTATCACTATTTTCTGTCAATCAAGACTGATTAGTGTAGGATGTAAACATCTTAAAAAACAAATATTTGCACCACTTTATGAGATGCACTGTAACTCTGAAACCTCAGACCTCTAGATATTTGCCGGAAGAAAGAAATCTGAGAAGGAAACTAATTGTTAGCTTGGAATGGGGGTATACGAGAGAATAAAATAAACATAGTATCTGAGAAAACAATAGCATTAATCATGGAAAATTAGGAGAGAGCCAGACCAGGAGTAGTGATTAACAAAAAAAAAAAAAGTAAAATCCATAAACAGAGAAGGAGGGTATGATTCAGGATCATTGGTGCTCTTTCAGATTTGGGACTCCATAATAATCAGAGCCTCAGTTTCTAAGTTCTTAGTACTAAGTTTAGAATTGAGCATTTAGAATGTGCACAACTGCAAAATTATATGATTTGCTGAAATTACTGTAGAGACAGTATTTAGGATACGCAGTTTGACAGCTTTTTGGCATTGATTTATCCATAATATCCTACCACAGAGAATTAAAATTTTCTGAATGTGTTCATTCCAGTGAACTGGGACATTTTACAACAGATCAGATTTCTCTGGTGCCGAAAACATGCCACTGAGTCAGCAGCTGTGCTGACAGAGGTACGCAGAAACCTTTCCTGCTTCTGCACCAGCTTTGTTTTTATGTTACACAGTAGCCGGAGAATAGGCATGGGGAGGCACAGACTACTGGAGATAAAATATTCATGTTAGCTTGAAGGGTTATAGAAGGATTATAACATACTTTTAACTTCCATACAAAGACAAGATGAAATCGTGTTACAGCTTATCATGAATCAGACTGCAGCCTCTTCAAGCAAAGCCTGGCTTTTATTATACATGAAACAGCTAACAGCTGAGCTACAGTCACAGCTAACGATACCAGCAAAAGCACAGTTAAGACATCCTTAGAATGCAGCTGACTCTCCTCAGAGATACACTGATACAAATAGGTGCTTTAAGCAACTTCACTAACTCAAAAATCTTCTTTTGCCTTCTGCTACTGGCCAAATACTGACCAAATAACTCAATCTTTATTGCATTTGAAGTGTCCAGTACATGCAACAAGACACTGTGACAGTTTTATGAGAGTATGAATATACGCACTTCTAGCATTCAGCTGAGCTCTCTAGGGACAGTTTCATCCACTCCCGTCTTCTCTCCTACATGTAACCAAGGCTGGAAATCAACTCAGCATCCCACATGTCAATCTCACATTAGTCTACCCACTGAAGCAGAGAGACACATGGTTGCTTCTTAACGCTTCCCTCACCAAATTTCACACATTTACTAGCCATCAGCTCATATAAACAGGATTAAATGTGGAAATAGCCACTTATGAACACAGCAAAACGGTAACAAGCAAAAACTTAAGCCAAAGAAGCAGCAAAGAGGTGGGCTAGTAGGTAGGTCACGTTGGGAGTGAGAGCTAGAGAAGGAATTTGAGACAGGAGGTATGAATGACTAGTCTGTGTTGGTTCAGCAACTGCCTCATATGCTGGAACAGTAATTGCAGAAAAGCTGTATGAAATTCACATGGGAACGGTGAATCCTTGGGCCTCTTCTTTAAAAGATGGTTGTGAAGACACTGATGAGCGTTACAAGAAAAGATTCAACAGGCTCTGAATCATCAGTTCAGAAAGAAGCATTTAAGAAAATGAAGCGTGCACCTCTCTACTTCCTTGATACTGGTTAATTACCACCATTCTTCAAGGCTCAGGTCTCCAATAAGAGAATTGCTCAAATCATCAATATTATTTAATTCCAGCAACCTGCTGACAGCACTGAATTCAGAACATGCCAGCATCAGGCATGCTCCAGAAAGTCTTTATGAAATGCTTTAAATATATTTGAGAATAACTTCATCTTTATGTTATGTTGTATCTCAATAATACATTGAAAGCCTCAAGATTTTCTTGCCAAGGAAGACAAACAATGTGAGGACATGAGATACTTACCGCTTCCATTAGCCCCTTTACTGTGGGTGATTTCAGCATCAAAGCATCAAACACCTCATCTGTCTCTTTCCTCACATACAAAAGCACTGAAACAGAAAAAAAGTCAAACTTGGAGCAGGTTCTGTCAACTGAACAGATGAAACACCCCACACTGAGTAGAAAAACAAATATTAATCCATGACAGATAAAATGAAGTGCTTAAGATGGTTTGCACTTAAAAAAATGTACTCTCATATCAGCAGTGATCTAAACATAGAAGACACATCATAGTTGCTTTGAAAACACATGACGATAATTCATAAAATTTACTTTAATGTGAGGAATCTATAGCTTCAAGAATTTAAACCTCCATTTACTGAAATAAGAGAAGCTAAAAAGCAGTAGGGCCCTGTCCCTGGGTCATAGGACAAAACACACAAGCTAGTTCTTCCTAAACCTGTGTCTCAGCTTGCACCTCTCCAGGCTTCATCCAAAAGGCTGGGAAAGGACATTCAGGAAAGCCAAGTCTGGTTTGCCTTTAGCTGAGCCTTTGAGAGCGAAATCAAGGAAAAGAAATTGTTCTCTCTGACATTACCACATGGATGATTGAAAATGTCCTGGCCAGTCTGAAAATAAACACTGGAAAGAACAACTCCAAAGTCATCTGAGACTTTACAGAGGAGACATTCAAAAGCACAGCTGGCAGGCAGACATTTATCTGCATGTCCACCCCTGCTCAGGTACTCAAATGCCATTTGTACTTCTGAAAATCTCCTCTTCCACCCTCTTATGTCCTGCCAGGTCTTAGTGGTTCACAGGCACAGCGCCCTGCCCTCTCCAGCTCTTGTTCTCCCCTCTCTGACTTGTACAGGTAAAAGGAGGAAACTTGCCGTTACATGGCAAAAGCAAAGCAGACAGCTACAAAGCAAATAAACACTAGAGAAGTGTTTTAGGCATAATCTCACATGACTGATAAAGCAGCAGGTTAAATATGACATTCCACAATTTATTTTGTTCCCTAAATAGACTGCCTTTTCAAATGGCAGTGCTGCACATTAGGTACAAATACACACGCGTGGTTAGGTATTTTATGTCTGTATGACAAACCACATTGGTAATAGTATTTTCCTTTTTTTTTGGTAGACAGAAAAAGATATCTTTGGAAGCTGTTAATCCTTGTGGTCCAAAAGATATCTTCACCAGGTAACTCAACAGATGACTTGCAGATGAACCAACAGAGATTAAGGTATTTTTCATACAGAAGCAATTGCTTGAAAGCTAATTCTCAGGTCAAGACTGTAGCAGGGTGGACTCAGGCCCATTTGCAGAGAATTGTAGCTTCTTTTCCCAGGTTTTTAAATGACTGAAAAAGATTTAAAACATGGGCAGGCCAGTCCCCTGTCTTAAGTCTACAAACCAGACATGCAGGACAGTGGGGTTTTTTGCATGTTTAATTCAGAAGTATGAGCCACAAAACTGCTACCACAGACTCATAGAACCACATCCTTTTCACCTACATTTTGGTAATTCTTTAGGACCTGCTTCAGAGTGCCCTTTTAAAGGATTTAGAAGATCAGATAACTTCGGGTCACAACATAAATAACTGTCAGAATATAAGAGAACAAAAAAAAAACCCACATCAGTAGTTCAACTTTACTGGATTCGATATGTTCACTTGCATGAGCAACCACACACTCAAAGCGCTAATTTTATATGTACTAACACTTTTATTAATTCAGTAATTCTTTTCTTGTGACTACAGGGCTGTCCTGTAACTCCTGGCTTTTCAAACATCTGGACCTCTGTCAGCCTTAATAATTACAAACATATCTGAAAGGAGGAAAAATCGCTCAGTCCAAGGTTAAGGCTGGGGACATTATACAATCCAAGTGCTGAGCTTTAAATCTCTCTGTTGTGCTTGACGTGTCAGGCAATATTATGCTGACTGAAGGATCCATTACAAGGATAACGGGGAACTTGAATCACTACTATCCACACAGAGAGCCAGGATTAGTAAACATATGGGGGGTTGTTGGCTTTTTCTTTCCCCTGACAGGTGTGAAAATCTTGGCTTTGATTCACTAGGGCACTTTTCCATCAATGACTTCTGGTGACAGTGATGCCTTAAGAAGCCCCTGTCTCGTCCCCGCCCTTATGCTCTGTTACTCTGGCCTGCCTCAGTGAATTTTTCTGGATGATGAACTCTCTCAAACAGCAGATGTGAGTGCAAAACCAACCCTTTTTCCTGAATTGTTCTTCAGACAGATCAGGTCTCTGCTTCAGCGTACAATGCAGCCCCCCAAGCCTTTGTGCTGGCGTAACGGTGGCGAGCAGGCCGGCTGGCCCGCAGCAGGGGCACAGCCGGGGCGGAGGGAGAGGGGCTGCAAGGGCTCTGCTGGGCTCAGCAGCGCTGCCACTGAATGCCAAGCCATCACTGTGACAATGTGACACATCTCGCACTTATGCCCTCTGATCCTACTGTCACCACGTTCACGGCATCTAGATGGGCTCACTTTAGTAGTACAGAATGCAATATTGGGGGTGGGGGAATCTTGTACCAGGCAATGAGCTGGTTTTGACTGAAAATCAGAAGATAAATTTGTCTGACCTCTGCACTTCCTGGCCTCAGTTCTCAACCTTCTTACCAACACTGAAACCCACTGTAGTCCCTAATGCTCATTAGATGTTAAAAAGAATTGCAAAAGATGGGGGTGATAAATTTATCTTTAGTTACTTAAGAAATAGCCCTGATTCACAAAACTGAGGAGTGGCAGCCAGCCCTTGTTGAAGGCAAGGGAGGTTGTTGCACCTGGGAGATTTTTGGAAGCTAGGCCACTAAACCGAGGATTTAAGTGAGAAGAACAATGTTAGATACATCTTTTAAAAGTGTTAACAGCTTGGCTCTGCAGTGGCCAATCTGATAAGGCAGAAGACAAACAAGAGATGTGTGGCAAAAATGAAATCAAGGACATGATGGAACAGTAAGACTTGGGCCACTATGAAGGTCTGAGCCCAGGCATTACCGATGCTCCGACTGACACCCTAGGAACAATGACTACAGTCTTGTAAAGGAGTCTCTGGATGGAGATGTGGCACGTTTTAGTCAAGTTAAGTAGAGCTGGTAGCTGTGACCTGGCTTTCCTTTCCCACATTTGGAGTTTCCATTAACTGCCCAGGCACAAATTCCCTAGGTGACAGAGTGAATGCTGTCCTCCACAGGGATGGTTCACAAAACCCTAAGCATTATGAATCCAAAATGTTTCAGAGTAGTTTAACACAACTTTCCTGAAAGGCAAAAGCTAGACAAAAATACAACTTTCTTCAAGCTGAGAACTAGAGGACTGGAAATCTCCCTGAGCTGTAACACAGCTGCTGGATTTACAATTAACGGGAAACTCCCTATGAAATCTGAAAGGGAAAGTGATTTGAAAACCCTTACTGAGAACTCAAAACAGGAAAAGGCCACAAGTCTAGCCAAGTGACTAGCTGCGCTACACACTTGGTACAGATTAACATACTTTGCATTTCTGTGTTGGGCACTTGCACTTGTACCTCTCTTAGAGGTCAAGGAGATGAAAGAATAATTCACAAAGACGCAGCTACCTGTGTGAGAATATAAACCTTGTTTTACTGATGTTTGCAAACCCCTTCAGACCTGTTCTCTTGAAGGCTGCCCCTTAATACTTTTGCTTCCACCAGACAGTATTACAATTAGGTCCATCAGGCAGAAGTAAGGCCACACACTCTCACTTTAGTTCTTCAGTTGGGCTTGGACTCCTCACTGGGTGCTACTTACCTGCACTGCTCTGATAATGAGCCACCTTGGGATTACATTGCTTTTAATGTGTATTTTCACATACCAGACCTGTTCTCTCTCAAACATTACACCAGTGCCCCATCTACACCTGCTCTCTAGGAGCTAATGATTCTGCTGTACCAAATAAATCTGGGAGAAAAAAGCCTTCTAGTACAGCTAAGCCTGGGAAGAAACACCAGAACATTTTGATACCCGGTGACTCCTGTGGCAAAGACAGTATTGTCAAATGGGCAGATTCAGCTGAGCTGAGCTCCATCAGCACAATCCCAGATGCAGGGTTCCCGATGGCAGGAAGTTCACCAGAGCAAAGGCCACGGTGGAAGAGGCTTGGCCTCCAGCCAGCACAGTCCAAGTCGCAAGAAACACTGAACAGGAAGGGGATGTGAAGAGATCATCCTCCAGTTTCTCTGGTTCTGTGCCCCTCCTGGATTTAATTATTTAACATAGTTTTGCCACCAGTTGAAAAACATTTTTTTCTTTCAAATCTTCCCCTTGAAATGGTTACAAGTCCTGGATGATATTAAAACAACTTACCACAGTAAAGGACAGGAATAATGAAAGCAAACCAATACCTCTTTGCAGACAACTCTCCAGGCTTCCAGCAGGGAAACCCAGGTGAAATTGCAGGAAATGACAGTTCTTTATGTAGCCCCTGTGACTGTCCCCTTCTGCTTGATGAAGCCCTGATAATGTGAATTTGGTCAAGGCCTTGAGCCAACCAGATGCATGTCTGTGGTCAGTGCTGACCTCAGATAATTAATTGAAGATTTAATTAAAAGAAGAATTAGTTCACATTTATTCCAGGAAGATTCAGGCTACTTCCTGTAATCTTGTATGCCTCCCCTGGTTCAAGTACACCACCCTAACCAACAGAGAAACTTCACAAATGCAGGCTCATGGGAAGTTGTTTCTATAAAGTTCAATTGGTGCAACTAAGAACAACTGAGCTCACTTCTGTACCTTGTTGCTTTGTTGTCTCACAAACTGATGAGTGAACCTCAAAACATTTGCAAGTTTGACCTATATAAGTTGGTCAAACCCCTGGAGCCCCCAATAAACTTAAATGACAGAACTCATGAGACTGAAGGAATGGCAAATATTCTCCAGGGTGTCTAACTGTGGCAGTGTAGGAAGTTATCACCCATAGCACTGCACTGGAAGTGGCTGTACACAAAGCAGATTTTGTGGACAAAACCACCATCTGCTCATCCTTACCTTCAGTGCAAAGTTTAACAGCTCTATCTAAACCAATGCTTCAATGTTATTCAAGCTTCACTGTAGCAGACTGGAAAACAGGAGTTGGACTGGTAGAGCATATGCAACACGATTGTAATAATATTCACTCAGGGCAGTAGAAACAGTTAAGGAAAATAAATTCAAACAATTCAGTTAGGTCTGCTGGAAGATGTCTTTCCATACCTTAGATTTCTAATTGGGTAGGAAATTTCTGAGATTTTATTCAGGCTAATCTAAGTCTGCAGTCAGCAGGAGCTTGCCTGTGTAAGGTCTCTGTGTTTGACCCAGTGCAACTTGCATATTTGCTTGCAATCCCAGCCAAAACAGAAAAGATGAGCAAAAGTTAAAAATAGACAACCGCAGATTTGCTACTGGAACATTTATGAACTATGTAGCTTGGCCACGGATCAAGAAGCTTTCTAGCTTTTTTATATTTTATATACACTTGTGTCCTGATCCCTTCTTGAGATAGTACAGTCCTTTTTTTTTTTTTTTTTTTTTTTTGTCTCTTCTGCTTTTAAGTCATTACTAGCATTTGTTAAAATGCCTCCTTGTATAGTGGCAGGTGTAACGATCGCTTCTCCCATCTACCCTACATTTGCACTAGGATCAAACAATTGACTTGGTCTGAGCCACACCTGCCCTTCCCAGCTTGAGGGCACGAGTCCCACAGCATTATTTTTAACTGCTAAGAATTGACTGTTACCTCTTTTCAGGCCTTCTTCTTTCATTTGTTTCAAAGGGGATGGACCAAACTCCTCCTCCACAGGCCGGAACATCCTTTTGACCAGGACACTGCTACTAGAAAACACACAACAGGGACCATGTCACAGTAAGACTGTGCTCCCAGGAGGAGAGGAGACAACAGCAGCAGTCATGACTCACTTTGTACTCTGGCAAAAACCCCACTAGCTACTCAAGTAGCACCAGACCAGAAACTGCAAGGATTTAGCTTTTGATGCTTATCTGACCTCTTCAGGCCTCTCAAATTGCCCAGACTGACTGGCTGGGACAGGTGACAGGAAAATGCGCTCCAACACTACATATTATTTTGAAAACCCCGAAGGCATTTAACTGTTTAAATATTGAGGGAAAGGGTGTGGGGAGGAAGAAACAGCTAAGTAAGGAGCTAAACCCACATTTACACATTGATTCACCTCCTCTTTGGGACCAAGGAGACAGCCTTGAGGAAACACCAGTAAAGTTTCTAAAATTCGAGACCATACAAGCCAGCAGGCTCAGAAGGAGTAACAGATCCAGCCCCAAGCTGTGACATGCAGCTGGGCCAGACCCAGCCTGAAGCTGTGACACGCTCCACTGGGGACGCTGAGGGCTGAAGGCACTACGGCTGCCCCCTCCCCTCGGCACAGCTCTGGCAGGACTCAGTGTCTCCTTTTAGTCTTGGAGGACGGAACTGAAGCCAATGTTCTTGGTGCAATAAACCCCTTTGTTTCTCGAATTCCACCGTGAGCCTTATGAAGAACATTAGCTTCATAAAAGAAACAGAAAGGGCCTCGTGTTTTCAAGTCAATGTTAGCTGCAACTGCCCGGCCACTCCCTACCACTGGCCATCTTTTGCAGGATTATGTGAGTGCACTTGTCTCACTCCAGACTCTCAGATTTGAGTGTGCTCACTTGGGATTCAAGCAACTTATGGAAGTGTGGGGCTTGCGCGCATTACAGTTAATACTGGCTGAACTTCAGCCACACATATTAAAGCCCTTATTTCATGACATCTCTAACTATTTTAGGGACTTTCTGCAATTATTCCAAGTCCCTGCAAAGCCAGATAAGGGATGCTCCCATTTCTAACCTTCCCTTTTCCCAGGATCTCTCATTCTCTTTCTACCTTTCTCTTCTGGAGCTCAGGCATTCCCTCTGCAGCTCCTGTATTTGTAGCCAACACACATGTGCACTGCTAAACAGTTTTCAGTACTGCAGTGAAGTTCAGTGCTTCATTAAAAAATTCCTGGTTTTTAAATTATTTGAGAACCCTTATATATAAAAGTCATTTTATTATCAAATACATTGTCCTGTCCCTATATTATGGCTCTTTAAACTGTTTTACTTGGAAATGTAGCAAAAAACAGATATCAAAAGCAGCCAGTTCACATGAAGGAAAAGGAAGTTGCCATAAAATAAATTCCCTCTAACAGTTCTACATATTACTCACCTACTGGTAGAGATGGGAGAACATAAGGAAAGGGGATTAGTTTTATCTGATTTTGTTTTGTGCCTGCTTTCTATGAGTTTGAACTGCTAACTACAAAGCTTGTGAAACAATAAATGTCTTACCCTTCTCTCTCATCATCTGTATTATAGTAAACCTAGAAGGATGGAAAAAAAACCCAATTATTTCCAAAACTCAGACACGAGCTTAACAGAATAACTTAAAATGGGAGAAAAGACAGTAAGTGGTTTGCCGTTTTTAATCCATTAAAAATCCTTTTCCTTCTATAAAACATAAACATCTCTAGTTCTAATTGTGATCTGGAAAAAGCGTGCCTTAGAAAAACTGCTGTTGATTATCATCTGGTAGAAATATATCAAGGCATTTTGACAGACATTGCGCTGTCCTCTGGTTTAAATCATTTTCCCAACTATTTTACAATCCTTTAAATCAGATCACTACTTACCTAAATTACCCCTAATACAATTTAAGCCACAACACTCACAAGCTTTTGTATGTATTTAATACTGTCTGAAAATCTAATTAAACTATAAAGACCAACATTAAACTACAGGCCTAATGGAAAAACAAATGCTAATGGTACAGCTGAACTTTTTTACACAGGCTGTGGGCAGAAGCCCAAGTCCAGACCGTTGTTTTGTGTAAATCAGTACAGCTCACAGTCACCAGGACCAAATTTACAACAGCAGCAAATGTGGCTAACAGTAGCAGGGAGGTATAAAATCACAGTCTGTTGTTAAAGGCTTTACGGAACAGTCAGCCAAATTCCTCACAACGTGCCTGCACCACGGGGCCACAGCAACAAGTGCACCAGCATTGCAGCTGCTGAGCTGCAGCGCAAGCGTGGGGCAAAGACAGGGCACCGGAGGCAGAGCAAGGCATCTCAGGCAGGTTTCCAGCACTTGTGCTGCCAAGAACCAGAGCACCTCAGCTCTCAAGGGGAGCCTTCACTTCTGAACCTGTACAGTGAAAATTGCTCAGAGGGGTGTGTATGTGAGCAAAGCTGGGGTCTGTAACTCATTCTAAGACCAGAACCTGAAAGTGGTGGCACACTCATAATAAAACATTCATAAATAATAAATTATTGTCATAATAAATCATTCTTATATTAAGTAATACACAAAACAATCAAGAAGTTCAGGATACCAAGAATGCCAATACTGTAACCCACGTAGCAGCAAAAGACAGGGCTGAACACTGCCTAAGAGCTAGCAGACTGGTGTATCTTCCAGTTAGTTTAGAAAATTATTTACAGGATTACATATACTAAAGAATGTTTCTCCTGTTTTGAGAAAAATCCACATTCTGATTTGAAAGCCGTGAGGACAGAAGGTACCCAGCACTGATATGTGAGTGGGTGTCTTTCCAATTTTGGAGAGTAAGTCAGTGACAGCTGTGATTGCAATGTCTGCGCTCTTTGTGCTTTGCTCTACCACAATTCTGACTGCTTTAAAATAAATGACAATTCCAACACTCAGTGTCATTTAATCTTCATTATTTTAATATTCTGCAACAAGATGCATGTAAAATTTCCTCATCTGCTATTTGTCTTTATAAACACATGCATAAAGGTCTCATTCTACTCCCTGAATTGTTAATAAATAACAGTTCATATTAAAAAAATTGTCAGACCTGACCCTCCAATTCAGGTTTGCAAATTCCAAGCAAGCAATACAGTAAGTGCTGAAAGAGTCAAGTCAGCAAAGACTTCCTCACACTTCCTGGTGACAATGACTCCATGACTTCTGCACTAAGCCAGTACTGAATATTAACATTAGCATGACAGATTTTTACTTTCTAGAGTGAAAATATTTTCTTCCAAGGAATTCCCAGATCTCTAGGTGATGCTGACAGAAAATGGGCAGTGGTGTTTAGCCTACTCTTGATCTCCTAACACATGTAAGATCTTGGGCTTTGTTTCCATTGTCACAAGGAGGGGGATCTCTGCTGCCACAAGGTGGCACTTCATTTCATCAAGACAAATAACACATTCAAAACCAGACTTCCTTTCAGTCACAAATCAACCTTCTATTTCAAAATTCTCAACTATTTGTTCCATTCATTCTTCCTAGCAAAAGAATGGCATAACCATAACAAACACAAACTAGTCAGTTGTTAATGAAGTATAAACTCCTTTTCACACCCAAAACTTGTAAAAGCACTTGTCTCTTATAATGTCTTATAAATCCCTCTCTAAGTGACCCACCAAGAGTTCTATTTACCAAAATAAGAGCTGAAACCAACAGCCCCCAGGAACAATGCTTTGTTTTCCTAAAACCTTCCTCAGAGCACACGTGGATGGATGGCAGGTGGGCACCGGCTCATCTCATTATAATTTCCTACCTGTCCAGTTCTTTGTAGGTTCCCAAAGTGAACATCTGGTATGAAGAGAACTGGCTGGGAATCCAGGTCAGCCATTGTTTTAAAGAAGGTAATATCGCTCTTTTTTTGCAGAGGGAGTGCACTCAACTTCCCTTCAGCTGCTAGGAGGACCACAAAGCAACATGGTTATGAAAGGAGGCATTTTAAGCATGACTCAGCCCCAAAGCAGAAAAGCCCGCCTTACTCACAGTTATTGCATGAGGCTTGGGATGCCTGGCCTTTGCCTTTCTTCCTGTTCTGCTTTCTCTCTTCATCTCGGATTTTTCTTTCTGCTCCCTGATGCAAACAAAGAAAACCCACAGATATTATCCAAAGAGGAACCACCATCAGCATCGTACCCTGTGATGCCTAGAACTACAGCGATGGACACACCAGAAATGCTGAAACAGAGACTGGTTATCCCATTACAGATAAATCTGTGCTGATTGTTGGGAACATGCCAGCTTCAGATCCATCACCTGTGACCAAAACTCAGGCTGGCACATCCAGCAGCACCCAGGGCTGGCGTCAGCAAGAGGGACATATCCACATGCTGGCTTGGAGGAGACGAGATGGACGGCTCAGGCAGCGTGCAGCCTGTAGCAGGGCTGTTGCCACCACAACTTGCACAAAGGGCATCCCGAGCCCAGCGCCTCTGCAGTGGACAGAGTGCTCGGGCCAAACACTTTGCCTATGTACTGACATCAAACACCTGCAGGATTGCCATCGTCTTAGATTGTGTCTGTGCTACGCTCTTCCCTAAACTCTCCTCCACCTACCTCACCTGGGGATGGCATTGCTCCACTGTGGCCAGCTTTGTAGAGGTCTTTTGATATTTGCCAGTGCAAGAAGGCTATGCTAACAGCTTGCCAACAGTGCAAGCGCTCTTACAGAAAAATACAGGCATTTCAAACAGGAAGAAGCCCTCCAGAAACTGGAAAGCAATGTAGCACTGCCCTATTAGGCCCCAGGAACTCCTGGGAAGTTGCAAGCTTCTGTTATGTAAACACACTCTCAACAAGTTTAGAAAATAAAACTTGTTATTGACATAAAAACCAGTAACACCTCCTTTGAAGTTCTTCTAATTTACTTTATAAATACGAATAGTCATGCTGTGAAGGGTATTAAAGATCCATATGCTCCCAGACAGTCAGCATGCAAAATTAAAGATTTTTTTCCAAATTAAAATTAGAAGTTTCTTTAAAAGAAAGGAGGGAGGGGGAGGTAGGTAAGGAAAGCCAAAAATATCCCCTCAAGATGGCAAAATTGACACATGAGCCAATGAACCAAGCTTGAAAAGAATGCAAGAAGAGATATACTCCTGGCTGTGATCTATCAATAGATTACCAGAAGTTGAAAGAGGTGGAGAAACAAACAGCTCTTTAAAAAACATGAGGGCGTGTAACAGAAACATTGCCTCCAAACCCAGGTCCCAGTCCAGTTGTCACTGACCACAGAAGCCACTGGATTCAGAGTCATTCCCTTACCAAAATTGTTTTTAAGGGTACATTAGTATCTTTAAAGGCCACCTGTTCTTTGGCAGAAAGGAGTAAAAATATGCCACACAGCCACTGTCCTGCAGAAGGCCCCTCCCTGAGAGCCCTGTGCTGCACAAAGTGGCTCTGCCAGGCAGCCACAGCCCTACCCAGTGCTCGGCACTGCCGCTCTGCTGCTCGCAGGCTGCGGGATGAACCATGGAAGTAATTTCATTCACGGCAGCAAGTGCAAGTTTCCTCTCAAGAAAGCAGAAACTGAGGACTTTTCCTTTTATACACAATAAAAAAATATATGTTTTGCTGATTTTTCTTTGATATTGTCTGTAACTATGAACTTGGTCAAGCTTCACAGCTTTGTCTTCATTCACTTAAGGCAAGACACCCCCAAGTCCTCTGCAGAGCAGGCAATCTCTGAGCAGGGCAGCCACTCCCACAAGCCAGTGCTTATTTGTGCCACAGCCACTTCACAAACGTGGCAACTGCAATACCCACAGAACTAGCTACCAGCCCTTCGGAGCTAGGAGCATCCCACGTGCCAGCCAAGCCTACATGATGCCTGCCATTGCTGTAGGTGCTGAGACAATGGACCACAGTAAGATTTTTGCATACCTGAGCATTTCTGCTGGACAGTTTTCACAGCTGAGCTGTGACACATATCTAATAAATCAGTTTCCATATCTCTTCAGGACAGAATAAGAAATAACCCTCTCACAGGGGACTATAAATGAGGCTCTGACCAGCCAAATAATCAAATGAGTTTTTCATTATTTCAGTGATGTCTGGACTTGTATAAATGCAACGAGTACTTCTGCAACTAACCATTAGCAAAACACAGCCTATGAATTTCAGATGATTCAAAATATTTTTTCCCAAAGTCTTCAATTCATTTAAGCTTATGTCTTACATTCTAGCTCCAGCCTAGCAAAGCCCTTACCATTGTAAGGACTACTCATCACCACTATGAAGCTCATGTGTACACCTATTTCTAGTTCAAGGCCAAAGTGTTCCACGTCTGGTAGGACAGGTCCATAGACTTCATACTTCTTCTCTTTAAAGCTGAAGATTAATAGGCAATCAGAGTTTCTCAATACCCTATGATAATCCACTTTCTCTGTGACGATCCATACTGAAGACAAGAAGGCAGGAAGCGCATATATTCCAAACAACATGCAGTTTTTCAGAGTAAATAAATCAAAATTAATTCATTTGATTGTGGAACAGTGTTATGGTATTTGCCAAGTCAAATGCTTCTGCTTCTTTTCAGTAAAGCTACTCACATACAGAAAATCAAAATATCTTCATACACAGTGGCTAAAGCATCTTGAAATATATAAATATAAATAGGCCTGGTAGCAAGTTTCCCTGACAACCTACTTAAGGAATAAAAATTATATTCTCTTATCATAATGCAGTATCAGTGGTCTGCACATGATAAAAAGACTGCAAGGGCAGAGAGAATTAGCACCAAGAAAACAAGATGTGCACTGTAACAGTTGCTTTGAAGATTGCCTACTGGTGGAAAATAAATATGGACAAAAGATTGGAGACTGAATAGGGAGCAAGCACATGATTACAACCTTTGCAGCCTTTATCTCCATACATTTATGTCACAAAGCACACATTGGATCTGAGTCAGTGCTGCTCTCTAGTTTATATGTAAATGAATACTAAGTTTAAGCAACTGACTGAGTAAATACTAATATATATAATATGCACCACTTAGCTAAATGCAATTTTATTTCTTTAGGGATACTCTTTCCACAACAGCTAAGTTGTGTTTCAGCTGGAGGACATTAATTTATCAGCAAATGTTTTTCCTAAAAACTGGACACCTCTACCTGTGATTTATCTAAGTTAATAGACAAACACATACTGGTCCTAAAGAGGCACCATCACTGCAGAAAAAACATTTGTAAGAACACTGTCAGGCACAGAAATATTTTTTCTTCCACATTTCAAACTAAGATACATTTAATAAGATAAAATAAGATACAGTACTCAGGCGGGAGGAATTTACTGTGCAGGTCCTCTGATCTAGATGATTGTAATAAATCAGGCACTTTTCTCATCAGCTTCTCTTTGGGGTTCTCAGACTGGGGCATAACGGTGCAATTCACACTTGTAAAACGTATAAAATTTATTATATATGTGCTGGGTTTTTTAAATGGCCCCATAATATTTCCTTAATTGATCACGACAGAGAGGTGGGCAATGATTGTCTCGCCTTCACCACCTTCCTCAAACAGGCAACAAACCCTGTCCTTGTCACTAGAGGGCGAGTCACAGACTTGAAAGACAAACTGAGCCAGGACCCTCCATTTAGCAGCGTCTCAAACAGTGACAGGGTTTTATTTTGGCATCTGGGAAAGATGAGGGCACCCAGCCCCACCAGCTAACTTCCTCTGAGCATGACAAATTCTCCCAGTGCCACAAGCAAGTGAAATTCTCCAGCCATTTGTTTACTTACAAAAGCACCGCCACAAACAGATGTTGGTAAAGATACAGCAGTGTAAGTGAGGGCAGAAGCAGGCCTCAGCCTCTTCCCAAGTGCCAATTAGCACAAACTGTCGTGTGAATTGACCTCAACAATTTTCATTCATTTTCATGCATTCAACAAATTTTCAGCCCTGCATTGAGTTACAAAGATCTGTGTACATGTATGCATGTATACATTTATATTGTACATATATTCCATTATTGATACCCTTGAGTCCTCCAGTTCCACTTTCAATATAGGTTTGATGTAGATAATGTTTTAACTACCCCTGTGATCTTTTCTTCTGCTTTGAGACAGTTTTGATTAAAAGACTCAGCATTCATTTCTTGCTTTCTAGTCTGGATATTCAAAGTACCAATTAAGCCAATAGATGAAATGAACATGTATTATTCAAAATATCCACCAGTTGTGTCTACAGATCACCCCTGATGAGTTTGTGCTCTGAATTTCCTTCCTGTTTTTAAATAATTCAGATTTTTCTAATTGCTTTTCAAAAACAGGTAGATGAAAATGACATGTTACTTTGATATTTATCAAGTTTTTAACATCCAGCTGTAGCTTCAAATCTCTAAATATTTGACATTCAAAGTTACAATTAAAAGCATAGCATTTTGACTGCAAGAAGACTTCAGTGCATACATTTACATTCATTACTTTCAAAGTTTTTGCTCCACTAACACAACTGACTGATTAGCCCTCAAGATCCCATTGTCAAGACAGCAACAAGGGAACAAACTGAGAAAAGGGAAGGAGCAGCAGCAGAGAGAGCTGGAACAGTTGAACTCTTACCCTTTCCATTAAAAAGTTAATGCTACATATTGCCTGGGGCATGGCCTTTTGCCTTTCTACTTCCACCTGTAAGACGGCAAGACTAATTTGGATAAATTTCCAAGTCACTTAAATAGATGTGGGCTCCCGAATCCCTGAACCTTGACTAGAATCCAGGCATCAGCTCCCCCCCAGAAGATCCTTCCCAGCAGGGATAAAGTCATCAACAGGCAGGTGTTAACACAACTGAAATGTGGTCATGCTCACATCTAAGAATCATCACTGACATAACATTTCTGAGCAGCTGTTTCTACTTGGTGATATATACAGTTGACCATGACGCTGTCAGACTCAATAAGGCACAATCTATGTTTTGGTGCTGAAAAATCGTAACAGTTCCCACAAAGGAGTAGGGAAACGCATTGTAAAAGAAAAAAAAAATTGCAAAGGAGGGAGTGAGCACACAAAAAAATAGTTGCTGAACTACAAAATGGGAACGGCTAATGTATTTTTGCACTTAACTTCTAATAAGAAAATCCTAGCAGCATACAAGTCTCATTGAAGCTTCCAAAATAACAGCTTGTAATCAAGTAGGGGGAAAAAACCATCAACTGAATCACTGGGACTCAGTGTTTTCCATTGTATCATTAAAGAGAGCTTAGCAGGCCTTTATGGAAAGGTGCATTTCTCTGTCAGAGACCTCTCCACAAAGTTTGCACTTTACCTATCCTGCCTGTCAGAGCCAGAAGACTCTGTTGGCACTCAGATTGGCACCTGCGTGAGCCTATGGTCAGCACTGACCTTCCAAATAGAGATCTTTACATTTGTACTTTCTGTGACTTTTTTGATATTCCTGTATCATGACTTATAACATGCTGTTCTTAAACAGTCCAACTATTGCTCACAAGTTGAGGAATCACAAGCAAAAAGGCTGCAAAGCAGTAAAATAATTCAATGATAATCTGTTAGATTTATGATATAGCTAGTCCAAATTTTACCATGAAACACAAATCTTTGGGGAAATAAAACCCACTTAACTGTGTCTAAAATACATCAAAAATAAACTAACAACGCTCCTCTATCCATGGCAAGTGTGCTTTCCACTTACCTTGTCACAAAAAACCTTGATCTGGCAGTAGGCTCGGTGGATGGGTTTATTGCTGCGGTTGTTGTAGCTGTATGTATCTATCTGGATCATCAAAGGAAGCCCTTTTACACCTTTTTGTGAGGAGAAGTCTGTGCTCAAGCAATTCACTGTGATGAAAATCTGCATACCAGAGAGATTACTTTTAAAATGTGGTGCAAACAACTATTAAACTTCTGAAAACATATGACAACAAATGGCAAATAAAAGCAGATACCCCTCAAAAAAAGATATTTTAATTCAGCTATGATCCACACTCTGGCAATTCACACAGTTATTGTCCAGTTCTGTCCTAAATCCAACAAAAATGCTCCCATGCTGGGAAGACAGACAAACTTTTAAGGCATGTATTAGTGCTTAAGTTTGGGTCAGGAGCTCACATTTGAGGTGAATCATTTGATTGTCCCAACTTACCATGCTTTGCTTCACACCAGAGTGCTCAGAGTGCATGAGCTGGATTCTTTTTGGAAGAGTCAGACCAGAAGATGTGTCCTAGGAACACACCTCACATGCTCCAGCTTCTAATAGTTGCTCAGTCTGTGGGAACTGACTAAAGATAATCTGAGATAAAACCTCCTAAAATGTGCCTCACGTGGATGTCAGGTCTTTAGCCCTGACTTGTTTCACTCTACAAACCTGCTCTGTATGTTTGCACTATTTATTAATATAGACATAGCAAGATCATCTTGCATTGTCCTTTCCAGCTGTCTTTTCATCTGGCTTGTTCTTCTGACAGCTCAGAATTTAAATTCAGTGTGGCCAAAGTACTACCCTTTTTTTTTTTTTATTTGACAAATACTCTTCATATCCTCACCAGCAGTACCTCTTCTTCCAATCCCATCAACAGATACTCCTGACCTTCACTGTCTTTCTTTAATTTCAAAAATGCATTTCACCCTGTCTTTCAAACTGGACAGGAGTTTCTCAAACATTTATAAAACTACTCCCCGCCTCTTCACAAAGTCCCATGTAGTGTCCACACAACTTGACATTTCCCTCAATTCCTAGCAACTCCCCTGCCTGCCTTTGCTTCAGAAATCCATCTCGTACTTTCCTTCTATGCCTACTTATGTCTGTTGATAGTCACTAGTCATCTGCCCTCTAATCTCCATCAGTACCATGGGACAAGGTGTCTCATCTACCATGTGTTTGTACAGGATCTGGGAGAAGGGTCTCCCAAGGACTATTCTGATGCAAAGCAAGCATTGTGAACTGAAATATCACTGATATCTTTCAGTCAGGATAGTGTGCGTGAAACTTGAGACATGAAACAAGCCTCACATTCACAAACCCTGGTCCTCATGGGGGACTTCAACCACCCCAATATCTGACACAGCAGGGCATAAGCAATCCAGGACGTTCCTGGAATGCACTGATAACTTCCTCCTCCAAGTGATAGAGGAGCCAACGAAGAGAGATGCTGTGCTGGACCTTGTTCTCACCAACAAGGAGGGGCTGGTGGGGAATGTGAAGCTTAAGGGCAGCCTTGGCTGCAGTCACCATGAAATGGTGGAGTTCAAGATCCTTAGGGCACTGAAGAGGGCACACAGTAAGCTCACTACCCTGGACTTCAGGAGAGAAGATTTTGGTCTCTTCAGGGATCTGCTTGGTAGAGTAGCGTGAGATAAAGCCCTGGAGGGAAGAGAGGCCCAAGAAAGCTGGGAAAAGAGAAAATTGGGTAAGAACACCAGGAGGCCTGCATGGATGAACAAGGAGCTCCTGGACAAGCTCAAACACAAAAAGGAAGCCTACAGAGGGTGGAAGCAAGGACAGATAGGCTGGGAGGAATACTGAGAAACTGTCCGAGCAGCCAGCAATCAGGTTAGGAAGGCCAAAGCTCTGGTGGAATTAAATCTGACCAGGGACATCAAGGGCAACAAGAAAAGCTTCTATAGGTATGCTGGTGATAAAAAGAAGACTATGGAGAAGGTGGGACCTCTCCAGAAGGAAATGGGAGGACTGGTTATCCAGGATGTGGAGAAGGCCGAGGTATTCAACAACTTTTTTGCCTCAGTCTTCACCAGCAAGTGCTCCAGCCACACTGCCCAAGATGCAGAAGGCAAAGGCAGGGACTGGGAGAATGAAGAACTGTCCACTGTAGAAAATCAGGTTTGAGACTACCTAAGGAACCTGAGGGTGGACAAGTCCATGGGTCCTGAGGGACCTGGCAGATAAAGTGGCTAAGCCACTATCCATCACATTTGAGAAGCTGTGGCAGTCCGATGAAGTTCCCACTGACTGGAAAAGGGCAAACATAACCCCCATTTTTAAAAAGGGAAGAAAGAAAGACCCACGGAACTACAGGCCAGTCAGTCTCACCCCTGTGCCTGCCAAGATCATAGAGTGGATTCCCCTGGAAACTATGCTAGAGCACATGGAAAATAAGGAGGTTATTGGTGACAGCCAACATGGCTTCTCTAAGGGCAAATCATTCCTGATAAATATGGTGGCCTTCTATGACAGGGTTACAGAGTCAGTGGATAAGGGAAGAGCAACTGATGTCATCTGCCTGGACTTGTGCAAAGCATTTCTAACTGTCCTGCACAACATCCTTGTCTCTAAATTGGAAAAACATGGATTTGATGGATGGACCACTCGGTGGATAAGGAATTGGCTGGATGGTTGCACTCAGGGTCTTGCGGTCAATGGCTCGATGTCCAAGTGGAGAGCAGTGATGAGTGGCGTTCCTCAACAGTAAGTACAAGGACCAGTGCTGTTTAACATCTTTGTTGGTGACATGGCCAGTGGGACTGAGTGCACCTTCAGCAAATTTGCTGACAACACCAAGCTGTGTGGTACGGTTGACACCCTGGAGGGAAGGGATGCCATCCAGAGGGACCCTGACAAGCTTGAGAGATAGGCCTGTGCAAACCTCATGAAGCTCAACAAGGCCAAGTGCAAGATCCTGAACATGGGTCAAGGCAATCCCAAGCACAAATACAGGCTGGGTGATGAGTAGATTGAGAGCAGCCCTGCAGAAAAGGACTTGGGGGTATCAGTGAATGGAAAACTGACTAAGAGCCAGCAATGTGCGCTCACAGCCCAGAAAACCAACCATATCCTGGGATACATCAAGAGCAGTGTGGCCAGCAGGTCAAGGGAGGGGATTCTCCCCCTCTACTCTGCTCTCACGAGACTCCACCAGGAGTATTGTGTCCAGCTCTGGTGCCCCCAGTGTAAGGACACAGACCTGCTCAAGTGGGTCCAGAGGAGGCCACAAAGATGATCAGGGGGCTGGAGCACCACTCTTATGAGGACAGGCTGAAAGTTAGGGTTGTTCAGCCTAGAGAAGTGAAGGCTCTGGGGAGACCTTATAGCAGCCTTACAGTACTTAAAAGGGGCCTACAGAAAAGATGGGGGAGGGACTCTTTATCAGGGAGTGTAGTGATAGGACAAGGGGTAACAGTTTTAAACAGAAAGAGGGTAGATTTAGATTAGATGTAAGCAAGAAATTTTTTAATGTGAGGGTGGTGAGACACTGAAACAGGTTGCCCAGAGAAGCTGGGAGGTTTCCCCCTCCCTGGAAGGGTTCAAGGCCAGGTTGGACGGGGCTTTGAGCTTGATGTAGTAGAACATGTCCCTGCTCATGGCTGGGAGGTTGGAACTAGATGATCTTTGAGGTCCTCTCCAACCCAAACCAGTCTATGATTCTATGAAACAGGATTAAAAATCCAATTGTTCTTCCCAGTGAGGAGTATGTGCATTACATAGTAATTTGGGCCAATTATGTATTAATCCCATTCTATTTTTCACTTTTCCTCAATTAAAAAAAAAAAAAAAACACAGAAAAACCCAAAACTGTGAACTAAGGAAAGGGATAGAGAAAACCACCAGCATGTTTTTCTTGAACCAGGAGGATGTGAAACTGGCTCCAGAAGAATGAGCACACTCAGGAAGGAAGAGATCTCAAACAGGTCTCTCAAACAGACCTGATGCACACCCTGCTGGGCAGAGGAGAGGCCGACAGGCCCCTAAGGTCTGGGAAGATTCAGGAAGAGCATGAAGGAACACCTCCCATATCCAGAAGCAGGGAATAAAAAAAAAAAACACACACACACAAAAACCACACACAATAATAATAAAAAACAAAACAAAACAACAACAAAAACAAAACAAAACAAAAAAACCCACCAAACAAACAAAAAACCAAACAAAAACAAAAAACAAAACCAAACCGTTTGGGTGACCAGAGTGCAACATCCCTAAAAGAAAGGCAGCTGAAAATAAAAAGGGCTCTGGTAATGCTGGTGGGGGGATACTTTACCCTAATGGCAGAAGTTAACATTTACAGTCAGTTTTTTTTTACATGAAGCCAGAGCAGCTTGTTTGCCTGACTGAGCTAATGGCCCCTCCACATTTCTGCTTCTGATTGTATCACAGAGCTGCATTTACAAATGAAATAGTTGAACTTTAACTGCGGGGAGAGGAGGGAGGTGGAGAAGGGCCCGAGGTGAAACTCTGATTTTGAAGCTGATAGTGTTATTTCTGTTTCAAATTACAACTTGGTCTCTTCCAGCTCCAAACTCAAGAGTGGATATGGATGCATATGCCTTTGAAATATGATGGCCTGAATTTTCATTTGCCTTCGGACTCCTCTACAGTGTCAGGGCAATGCTTTAAAGCGTGCAAACACAGAGCAGTGGAATGAGGTCTGGCATAAAACAGAATCTGGTCTTGCTCTATTTTAGCCCATACTTCTGTACAGGGATTTTCCAAACTGTACATTAAAATCTAAAAGCAGACATGCAGCCTTTGCACTGACCCAGCAGTTTGTGCATCTACCACCTTTGCTGCACACTCGGCTGAGAAGTAAAAAAAGATCTTGTCCCATCTTAATCAACTACAAACACTGTGTCATCTCTTCCGCTGCCTACAGAAACACAGAGCAGAGTAGGAGCAGCTAGGGAAGACAAACTTCATCTTTTCAAGAGTCCCCATACAGCAATAACAGATTATTCAGCATGAATAATAGATTGATGCTGTAAGATTCAATATCTTTATCCTGACACTGTAATACATCAGGATCTCTCTGAGGAGCAATGACCATAAGTTCAAGTGCATGAAGTGTACTATACTTTCTGTCATAGCATTTGCACCTCAGACATAAGACAGATGGATTTGAA